TTAAAAAAGTCCAAAAATTTTGAATAAATTTTATAATGCTTCATTTCGCAATTTAAATATTTAAGAACACAAATTTTTTGATACATGATAAACTGAAATTTTAATTTTTGATATACTTAGTAATTGTAAAGTAGAAATTCCAAATTTTCAAAATTTAATTAAAAATTTTTCTGAATATCTCCCAAAATTTTCAAATCCCCACAAACTGATTTTTTTTGACTTAGTAGGTTTTGGATAACAAACAAAATTTTGTTTTTGAATATCTTTTATGAAAATATTGCATTATATGAATTTAAACATGTGTGCTTGTAAAATAAAATTGTTGTAAGTTAATTTAAATAAAAATAATAATAATAATAAACAAAGAGAGAATAATAAACGAGACTCGATTCAATATTGACATTGAAATCATAAAAAAAAATAAAAATAATAATTTTTTGTTTTTGTTTTTTTTTTTTGTTATTTTCTTTATTTCGTACTCAAATTGAATCATAAGTGATTTTTTTTTATTATTTTGAAAAATAGCTTTATTATTTTAGTTTTGAATTCAAAAATTATAATTTTATGAAAAAATAAAATATTTTAAACTTGCGTAAGTTAAGAATTGTGTTTAATTAATTTTCTCTTTTTTTTTTTATTTTCGATTTTTTTAATTAAATAATATGAAAATATTTAAATATTTTGATACCAATTAAGTGTTTGTAATTTTTGTAATATAAAAATTTATTTTTTTATTATAATTTACAGTTTCAAATTGAAAAAAAAAATAAAAAAAATATCATAAATTAGAATTTTCATTGAATATTTATTCATATTAAATTGAGATATTAATTAATGATTCAATTAATATATTGATATAAGAAATTGAATATATATGTACATACATTACGTACATACGTATGTACAGAGATAGCATAACACTTGTAACATGTTAAGTGAATGATTACAGTGAACCAATTTTTTTGTTATAACTATTATATTGTAGAAATTTAAAAAGAAAAATAAAACAATTAAAAATTCAATTAATTAATTATTATTGTAAAAATTCTAAAAATAATAAATTGTTCATTCCAATTTTCCTTCATTTTTATAACATATAAGAATTTAGTGTTACATTTTTTAATAAAAATTTGTTTAGAGAATGGAAAATGTAAAATTAACCAGCCCCAATACGGCATATTCGTATAAAGCTTTATGAATAATACTTATTAAGTCAAAAAATCATATACATACTTATTTCGAATAAATTAAGTTTAAAGTATATAAATTTTTTTTTTTGGAAAAAATTTAGTATTTTTATCTTTTGGCATTGAGTACTAATCATAAATACGGTGTACTGATATTAAAATAGCCCATTTAAAACAAAAACCTTCAGCTTAATGAAATTTTAGATTTTATATTTGGAAAAAAAATTTATTACTTTTTTAAATTTTTTAAGAGTAACTTTGAAATTAATTAGGCTAAATATATTATGGCCAAATATAAAAAGTTTCAAAATTCCAGTCCTAGAGCAGCTAACCCTAGAACAGTAAAATTCGATTTATTTGCTTATAATCATAAAAATCAACTTATATTTTTCTTTAAAATTTTATAATTTTCGACAAAACAAATCTTTTACAGATAAGTATATAAAATATAGATATAGAAATAAATAGACATTTATGAACTAAAGAAAACAATCACATATAATAATGTAAACAAAAATCTTTTGTTATAAGTATAACAAAATTTAAAGTTATAACTATAAATATATTATGTTTAAGTAAGAAAGGCATACTATTTTGATTAAATTTCAAGAATAAAACCATAATATTATATAAAAATATTCTAGTTTTATATAAGATAACGCTGCAGTAGCCTTCTGTAATTGTTAATTAAAAGTGGCACTGATTTATTATCAAATATATTTCAACTAGCCATCCCTATTTTATCCTTAAATTCAACAATATTTCAATGAATTTCAATAAAACTGACAATATTTCACACCTTTGTTCATTTTATTTTTGTATATTTTGTATACCCCTTAAAATTTGAATTTTCTAACGGAAATATTTTATCATCATATTGTTTGTTGTATATTTTTTTCATATTATATTATTCATTTTCATTTTATCGGAATTACATTAGTATTTTAAAAGTCCTATCCTTAAAAAAAACCTTAATTCCCAATTAGTAATAACGACATTCTATCCAAACTTACACGGTTTTCAAATAACAAATAAGCGGTTTTGCTGATTCATTTCGCTTTTCAGCTCATATTTATATTACATATATATATACATACAATAAAGTTTCTACCTTGTGCTCGTGTGTATGTTCTGTACATTCACCTACAAAAAAATTAAAAAAAAAAAAAAAAAACATTTTTTCACCTATTTACTCTCAAGCTTTACCGGTATTCCAAAAATATTTTATGGAATAGATGATGAAAAAATACCAAACGTCAATTTAAAGAATAAAAAGAAAACCCTATATCCTATATTATATAAGTATATATAGGTTTTATGTATATGTATATTTCATTATATAACAAGAAAATACACAATGCTCTTTATACATAACGTATATACTCGTATAATTAATAGATATTGAATTAATACTCGTAAAATATTATATAAGTATAAAAATCAAATTTTTGCATATTCATGAATGAAAAACAAAAAAAAATAAAAATTTCACCTGCACAAATAACACAACATACTTATAGGTATAATTTATTCGAATCTTAGTTATTTTCTTTTTTAACAACATAGTTTAGAGATACTGGAAGATGAAAATGTCATATTTTTGTTTGATACCCACCCAAAAACTTTTAAAGTTAATAAAAAGGAACACATTGATTTTATGACGTTTTCATTTTTAGATTTGAATTTCTGATTGTAATGTTAAGTGCCCTTCCTTAAATTGAAGGGAAAAAAAACTAGGTTAATTTACTTGATTAATAACAAAACAAAAAAAAAAATAATAAATAAAAAGTAACAGAACTAAAAAGGAATATTTTGGAAGAAAAAAATATCCTTCAATTTTTTTTTATTTTTGCTCACTTTTGTGATCCTATTAAATTTAATAAACGAAAAATTTTTTTTAGTAAAGTACGAGCTTTTCATGGAGATATACCGATATTAAATAACTAAAATTTTTATATTAAATTTTCATAAGGTAACAAACACTTGTCGAAAATGGAAAAAAATTTTTTTGCAATTAGATTTAAAACTTTTTTTTTATGCTTAAAGTAACTTTGAAAAATTAAAAAAAAAAATTCACGTACTTAATCTTAATTTTATTGATATCTAATCAGTTTGTTATGTTTGTGTGTGTATGAGAGTTGTTTTAGAGCTATATACGGCATAAAATGTTATGATATACTATCAGTTTATGATAATATAAGTATATATTTTAGTGAAATATTCATAAACATACATACATGAATAATCATTTATTTAAACTAAAAAATAAGTACAGGGTTACGTACGATTAAAATCATAAATTCAAGCTCGAAACTCTTTAAAAAATTTCAATTAATTAAATAAAATATATTGAAAATTTATTTCTTTCTTAAATTTGCCTTTATTCGCTAAATTTTTACATGTACTTAATACATAAGTCCTCCGAAATCAGAAAATTATTATTTGAAATATTTTAGCTAATTATGAATTTCTATAAATAAAAATTTTTTAATTAAGAATTTGTATAAATCAACAAACAAAAATTATTTCCATTTTATAAGAATATATTTTAAAACTTTTTCAATTTTATGTGATTTGTTAAGATCTGCAATTGATATTAAATTTAAATTTTACAAAAACTAGTTACAAACTTCACATTTCTCTGAAAGTAAATAAATGAATAATGTTAAAAGCTTCCTAAATCAATGTTAATAAAATCTGGTAGCAGATATTCTAAACCAGATGAAATATTTCTTAAAAAAATAACAATTCGAATCTTATAGATTGAGTTTTACTAAAATTGTAAATGAAGATTTTCCGAGAAATTGCCTTTAAACAATTATTCAACCTTTTTGACTCCTCGAATTTTTGACTTACTTAAATAGATTTGCCTATATTTGCTATTATTATGAAGAAAATTAGTACAATATCTCCTAAAAGTATGCAATGATTTTATTAATATTTAATAAACTTTTATTTTTTTAAAGAAAAATTCGTTCTTTTTTGTTTTCGTAATCAAAAATAAAATTTGAGGGGATTGTAATTCAAAAAGAAAATAATTTAATAATCGCCTATATATGCAAGACACCCGATATCTATTCATAACATTGGTTTAAATATGATTACGATTGAGAAATAAAGTAAATATAAATTTTTTTAAATATATTTCTGTAGTAACTTATTAGACTTCTAAACGGTGATTTATAATTGTATTTAATTATTCTGATATAAATGAATCATTCAGTCAATTTGTAATTTACGAATTTCGCTTGAATTTATCTCTTTCCATCTGTTTTTTTTTTTTTAAATAAAAAGTAAGTTTAAACTTTATAAGATTACATAAGCTAAATAAACAATAAAATAAAATGAATCAAATTGTTGCTTTTAATATAATATTTAATTATATACATAATTACCTTGTCACATAATAAGTGTATAGCTTTAATTTTAAATTGTTTGAAAAAATTTAAATTCTAGTCTGTAATCGAATTCATTCAATTATAATTAATAGCAATACACAATCTTTTTATCTTTGTCTTTATTTTTTATATACAACATTTATTCTAAAAACTTGGTAAACGAATATAAAAAAGCATGATAAGAATAAATAATTAAAATTATGAATTTAGTATGAGTAATTCAAAAAAAGTTTAATAAACCTTAAATAAAATTTTGATAGCATCAATAATTCAATCCAATAATTAAATTATAAATTATTAAATGTTAATGGTTTGCGAATATATGTAAATTAAATACTTACTTAATTCTTATATTGAAAATTTTAAATTTGATAAGAACTAGAAAACTAAATTTTTTATTTGCTTTTATTTTTAGATATAATAAAATATGGCTATACCACCGCCACCAGGACCTCCGCCCCCACCTGGGCCTCCACCTCCACCAGCAATGGGAGGTTTAAAATTAGGTGGAGCTGCTGCTAATTCTGGAGGTGATGTTAGATCTGCGTTATTGCAATCAATACAGAAAGGCACAAAATTAAAAAAAACTGTAACTGTAGATAAAAGTGGTCCGGCGACATGTGGTAAAGTATGTGGTGAAACAAATAATAATAATAATAATAGCACATCACCCAAACGTTCTATAAATAATACAACAACATCAATTGGAAGTAATAATACAAATAAAATTGCAAATGGTGGTCCAAAATTAGGTGGTTTATTTGAAGGTATGACTTCAATGCCGAAATTAAAACCAGTTAACGGAAGAGGTATATACATTCATTTTTAATGTACTTAAAATTTAAAAAAAATGAAATTGTCTTCAAAATACAAAAAATAATTTTCTTTTTTTTTTTTAAGGTCCTTCAACAGCTAGTCGAAATGCTCAAGATTCTATATCCGGTAATAATAATAGTAAAAAAATTAATCAAACATCAACAAGTCCGCAGCAGCAGCAACAACAACAGCAGACATCGAATGGACCATTAGATTTTAATGCAGAATTAACAAAGCACTTGACATTAAAGAAACAAAAACAGCAAATTAATGCAACTGAAGCAAATTTAAGAACAAATAGGGGTCCACCACCACAGCCTCCTGTACAAGCAAAAAATAATTTATCATCAGTAAGTATTTATGTATATGAAATATACATTTTCTACAGATGAATTATGAGTATAGTCAAGTATACATATATATATTTTCACATTATACTTACATTTTTTTTAAAGAGTATACTTAGAAAAAACCGCAACATATGGTACCATTTAAAAGCTTTCCGGCTTAAAGTAAAATATTAAATTTCCTATCCCATTTTAAATGAAAAAGAAAAATTGAATTAGTTTCCATTCATATATGAAATTCAAGAAAATTAATTTTCATTATAATTTACATGTATATGTACATAATCATTGCACCATTTTGTTTTTTAACAAATTAAAATTTCAATCACATTTAAATATTGTCGCTGCTTATTAGAAAATAAAAATCAATGTCTTTGAAATTTTATTCAAATATAAAAAAGAAATTCATTTCAATTTTACTCATATTTACTTATACAATTTTTAAAATTCATTTGTATAAAGCCCAACTAATTAATGATTCTGTACAGTTACCCCTTAGCTAAAAAATATGTTTTGTTTTTTTATTCAATTATAAAATTTAATAGCAAATTGGTAAAAAGCTTATATTGTAGTAAAGAAAAAACGAAAAATAATATTCAGTCAATCATCGGCACCAATGTGTTTTGTATTTACTAAAATATCACATTAAATTGAATAAAAAACAAATAGAGTGTGTATATTAAAAATTTTATTTATTTATTTATTTGCTTATTTTTTGTTTTTATTCTTTTTCTCATTTGATTTCACAGTATTTTACTGGTTAAATTTAGTAATTTAATCTGAATTTTGATATTTTATTAATTCGTCTCAATAATTTAAACCGCAATAATATTATGTAAAATAATTTATATTTTTAGAGTACGTCTGATTCGTCTGTTAAATCGGTATCATCAGTAGTGAGCGGAAAAGCTTCATCGCCAACATTATCCGAGGGAAGTAGTAACAGTAGTAGCAGTTATTTAGCAAAGAAAAATACATCAAATCTAAGGTAAAATTAAAAAAATATTTTAAATTTTGACAATAAGTAAAAATTAGGAGTAGTATCTTTTTTGTGAACTTTTGAGATTATAACTTTCAAAAACGTATAAGAGAAAAAAAAGGTCAAATTTGGGCCAAACTTTATTTTATTAAAAAATATTTATTAACTTATATTAAAGATTCTGTAGTTATTTAAAATGTAAAGTTTTTTATGTGAAGAGTAAAAATTTAAATTTTTTTTTTTTTAATAATTTTCTTTGACTTAATATTACAGTATTTAGAACCATTGTGTAATGAGTGTTTTTTATGATTAAAAAATAAATTTTAAAATAGAGCGCGTGTTAAGAAATTTAGTTGAAATATAATTTTTTTTCTAGTGTCTTATTTTATTCAAACTGTTAGATGTTTCATAAAATATCATTTCCCTTAAACATTATCTTTTTATAATTTATGTTTTTTTTTTTATCTTTTTATTTTATTAATTTTTTTCTTTAAACAAAACAAAACCAAAATCTGTTCTTTTATAGTCTTTCGATAGTAAATTCAAATGTAAATAGCAATAATATCAATTCATCATCTGGGACAATAAATTCATCATTATCGACATCATCTTCTGCAGCAACTCCTTTACCAAATAAATCGTCATTATTTGGTAATTTAAATAGTAGTAATAGTAGCATAAGTAGTACTAGTAACAATTCAATTTTATCGTCAACACCAACAATAACATCGATTTCACCGAAACCAATCAATCACGGGAAACCGAATTGTGCACCTAAACCGCCTGGAATACAGCAATTAGTCCAGGCGAATGGTCAGAGACCAACTGTTCAACGACATCATAGTATGAAATCACCAAGGTAGAATACAGAAATAAAATAAATTTGAAGAAAAAAAAAACTAACATCACTAATATTATTCTAATGTGTAATTTTTTTTTCATTTAATCATTCCCGCTTCATTAACATGTTCAATATAATATAATATGTTTTTGATTTTTTAATGAGATGTGTTGCTAATTCTATCTTAAATGTAATTTTTTTAAGTAACGTTTGATTTTACACTTGTTTTGTAATTAAATGTGCTTTTTATATTTAACTTTTGCTTTTTGTATTCAATAATATTTTCTCTTTTTAGATCACCACCAATCGCGCCACCAGGTATACAAAATTTTGGTACATTAAAAAATCCTTCACAACTCTTCCAATCGCATGAGTCAATTAGTGCAAATATGAGGCAAGCGCCAAATGCTCCAATTGGTATGACATCTTAAATAAAAAAAATTCAAAATCAAATTAATTAAATTAAAAATCGTTAACTTAGGTCGACCAACAGTTGCACCCCCGAAACCCCCTTCAGTTAAACCACCGCCCCCGCCTACACCTGCTAGAAGTGTTTCAAATACCAATCTTAGTAATATTCCACTAAGCGCCGCTGCATCATCCCCTTCATTTGGTGGTGGCATAAATAATAATAATCTTACTGTAAATAACACATCTGCTGTTAGTTCTACTTTTGGATCAACAAGTAATGTTGCAGCATTAAAAGATCAATTACGTGGTCAAATAAGTCATGCAAATTCAGCAAGCAATGTTTCAAATATTTCACCATCAAATACATTAACAACATCAAATATCATTGGTACGAATAGTGGTGGAAGCTCTGGTAAATTAAATTCACCAATCAATAATAGAAGTATTGGTATAGGAGCTGGTGATAAATTTAATAGTAATACACAAGTTGCAGGAGTTCCTCCTCCGCCACCACCGCACAGAGCGTGTCCACCACCACCTTTACGTCAACCAAGCAATAATGTAAATTTTTTTTTCAAATATTATTTTAATATCACTATTTATTATGATTTTTTATTGTTTTAGCAACTGAACAATCCACCGGTGCCACCACAACGGCACTCATCGATACGAGCTTCACAAGCTACAAATAATAATACAAATAGTAACAATAATAATAACCAAATTACATCACATATATGTAACATAAGTAGTAGTGGCGTAACTGGAAGTGGAAGTTGTGGTAGCCGCGTAGGAGCTGTCAATCGAATTGTCATTGATTTGGAGTCGAAATTTGCAAATCGTTTTCATAATGTTACAGAATTTTCAGCACCACCACCATATGTAAATACTGAAAAAACTTATGCTAGTCGTAATAATGTTAAAACAGCTAATGGTATGTAACATATTCCTTTTTCCATTTTAATTGCTTTATAAAATCAAATCTATCTTTAGTTGGTTTTTTTTTACTTTATAATTCTGTAACATATACTTCATACTAGTTTTTTTCTTGCAATTTTACCTGTAGATTAGACATACATATACATATTTGTACTAACAGTTCAAATTTTTTCTTCATAATCAATTTTTTTTTATCGTTTTTTATTTTTCGAAAAAGTTCAATTTGATTTAATCGGTTGTTGGCATTTAAAAAACTTTTTTCTTTAATTTGTCAAATTTTTTAGGAAAATGTAAATTTTATTACAATTTGGTTTGGTAAACATTTTCTCTTTTAGAGCTGATTGATTTTAAATATTAAATTTTAATAACTACTTGATTGTATATTCAAACGACCATATTGAATGCTAAAAATTAGTCAAAGAGTTTTTAAAACTTTTAAGCTATTAAACTTTATTTACATTTATTATCTCATGTAAATAATAAAGTCCCATATTTCGATGTAAAAATTCATTCCATTTTAAATTTTTTTCAATAATATTACAAATCTACAAATTCAATAATAAATTTTAATTGTTATAGTGTTACTTTAAAGTAATTAATTGTAAAATTTTCAAAAATGTTTTCAATTGTGTTGTTCTTATGTAAATAGTTTCTATACTACAAGATGTGGTGTACTGCATAGTGATTAACTTTAATGCAAAACTAATGTAATGTAAGAAATTTTCAGAATTCGAGAAATTCAATCTTAAACTCCGGTATACGAGTACTAGTCTATATAGATTTTGTTTTAAGAAAAATTGGAAAAATGCAATATTTTATTTGAGATTAGCACAAGAAATTCAAGTACATATTGTTTATAACCTAATGCTATTTAAATATATGTATATTTAAATAGCATATTCCAATAATAAATGTCATCGAATACTAATTTTGTTATTCGCAGCTGTTGTCGTGTATAAAAATGTGATTGGCGAATGTAATGTTTTTTTATCTTAAATGATCTCTAATATGTGAAAAGCAAAAAGTAATGTTTCCTTTTAATATTTGCTAGGATTTCAACAATAACATGGTTTTTGATCCACGAAAGATCCATATGAAATTTTGTATGATTGTTTATCACTATTTATTACATCCACTATTGTTTAACTTATACTATAATTAGCATATTAATAATATTCATATTTAACTTTAATTGAGTAATTCATTGATTTTAGGTTTTAAAAATCAAGTAACTGCTATAAAGAATTAAATAACAATAAATTATACTAAAACATTATAAGGTGCAAATATATTCTTGTTTTTTTTTTTTTGGCACAAGTTAATAAAGAAATTAAACTGAACCCTTAACGTTCAAAATATTTTAATTATTAAAAAATATCTTAATTATTGAGGTCTTCATTCCCTTTCCCAAAATATAAAAATCAACGTTTTATACACTAATCTGTACTTATTGTAATAAATAATTCTAAAAAATCAATAGTTTTATTTATTTTGTTCTTTAGTAATGTGTTCAGTAATTTCTATACAAAATTATATTTATTCGGAAATATGCAAATTAATTAAATTTAATATTTTAATTTTTACTTTTCTTTTTTTTTCATTATTTATCTTTTTTCAGGTCCGAAACTAAAAATCTGAACTGTGTGTACTTGCTTTAGCGAAAATAGTTTTGTTGAATTTTATTTTTATTTTATTCTATTTTTTTTTACGTAAATATTTTACTTTAGAAATTTAAATGCAAAAAAAAAAATAATTAACAAATTTGAATTCAAAATAAAAAAATAAAAAAAACATAAATAACTAATTAATTTAAAATTAAAAATACATAATTGTTATAATTTTAATTTAAAAAAAGAAAAAAAAAAGATTATTAAAAAGTAAAAACTTTTATTTGTATTACTTATTTTATTATATTGTTTTTCTATATGATTTTTAAGAAATATTAGAACAGTAATACTGATTTTTTTTTAATTTTTAAAAAAATTACAAAAAAAGGAAGTACTAAAGTACTTAAAGTATTATTTTGCTTTAATTACATGAAACGAAACAAGTATAATTCTCCAAACTCTGACGAATTAAAAAATTGATTTAATTTCACTTTATTTAGAATGCATAGATTCTTAATTAACAACGCTTGAATGCTTAAATAGTGCTTTACACCAAACCAAAGAAATATTTCTTTGTTTTGAATGCAACCATAATCTAGTTTTCCCGCCTAACTAAGAATTTTCTTATTTTTACATTCATAATGTAATTTTACATTAATCACTGAAAAATTTTCATTCTAATAGAATATTTTCGTTAATTATGGTGTTATATATGAAATTAAAAGGTTCGTCTTGTGTAATTAAAGTGTTTCACAATTGAAATTGGTAATACTTTTTGTGCTATAATTTTGTTTAAAATCTATTTAAGTCTTTCCTTTTTTTTAATAATCAAATATCTGTCTTTGTTAATGTTTAACAATTTTCCAATAAAATATTAAAATTTTAAACGATAATAATAATTGAAATTAGTAAAGCATGAAAATCTATTATTAAAGTGTAAAATACAACAAAATAAAAAACATTATTAGTGAAAAATTAAATAAAAATAATTTTTCCATAATAATTGAAATATATCAAAAAAATAATAAAAAAAAAAATGAAAAATTATTAACTGTTAATAAAAATGTAATGAAATTATGCAATTTTTATTATTTTTAAACTTATTTTATTTGTAATTGTCCGAATTTGCATGATCGTATTATTAAGCCTTTTGATTTTTTACTTTTGCTTTCTTTTTAGTAAATTTAGCTTTTTATTATTCTACTTAATTTATAAAATTTTGAGACTAAGTATAACGATTTTTTTATATAACATGTTTCATAATTCTTGCCTATTAGTTAATAATGTTAATTATTAACAATTTATCAATTACTTAATTGATAAATTATATATTAAAATTGAATAATTCATATTATTATAAATAATATTGTTGATTTCATGAAAATGAAATTAAGAAAAAAAATCCATACAATTGATGTGAAATTCAATTATGTAAATACTTACGTGTATCCCATCTTTGTACATACATATTATTAATGTCTTACTTGAATATATTATGTGTTCCTCCTTATGATTTATTCAAACAGTGTATAGCTATTGTGTTATAATACTCATTAAAAAGGCTCTTTTTCTTAAATTCGTAAAAGTAATTAGAAAAAAAAACCTGATGTTTAAATCCATTCTATTCGTTTTTCTTTATTTTCCTTTATTATATTTTTTTTTTAATTATTATTAAAAACCAAAAATGTATAAATACAGTTCATGTTTAGTCAGTGTATTTCGACTGATTTGCATGTATTCCTGTAAGCTTGTTTTGTTATTCAGCTTTCAAATTTTTACATATTTTTTGGTTTTTTTAATTTCTTAAATTCGTCGCGTTTTTCTTCTTTTCTGTGTATAGATTCTAGGCTCTAAATGCTTTTTATAAGAATTTTTTTAATATAGAAAATTTAATTAAATGTAAATTTTTTTTTCTAAATGCAAAACAAAAAAAAAAACAAAAAACAAAATCAAACGTATGACATTCTAGTGACCGAAAACAAAATTAAACCGAGAGCACCAGACCCTCCTAAATTACCACCATCGGCATCTAGGAAGCAATATTATCTGCAATTAAATGACCAGAAATCGACGTTAACAAGTGATGCATCTTATTGTTAAGAATAATAAATTTGCTGTGTTTTATTAAATATAAAAAAAGTTTTTTTATATACGTTATATACGTATATATACATATATATATATATATATATATATATATGAAGATAAAATAAAATATATATGTATATTTATAAATATAAATTACATATTGAATAATACAATATATTGAAAATATAATATAACATAATGTACATACCAAAATGTATAAATACATAATGTTTATGTATATTTATGAATTATATTTGTAAACATGTGTACATACATGTATATTACATAAATTGTATCTAGTCTAGATTTGGATATCGCACACATTACTGCAAAGAAGATTGTAACCCGAAAAAACATTTCCTACAACTCAACATATATTTTAACTTAGAAAAAAAATAAATATATAAAAAAAAAAAAATTCGAAAACTTATAATTTTAAAAACGGAAATTGTATATTTGTAAACGTGTAGAGCTAAAAGTTTGTACTTATATGATATATATATATATATATAATTTAATAATGTACTAATTTAATACCTAAAACATTAAAAAGGGAAAAGAAAATTATACGTTCTTAAACGGTTAACTTTCTAAACAGGCACCCATATCGTGTTAGACGCATCACCTCAAGTGATTTGATATTATTCAAAAATATTGAGTATAAATTTTTAAATTTCGAACTTGTATTTATTTAAAAAAAAATTAAAATATTTGAATAATATTTCACAACTTAAAGTGATGCATTTAAGAATAATACAAAAGCGGGTGAATAAATTAAATTTAAAAGAAAAATAGGGAAAATTAAAATCTAGTTTAATTTTTAATATTAGTTTTGAAAATAAAATTTCGATCCCTTAAATTTATACAAATAAGATTGATTAAAAAACCTAATTAAAAAAGTTGAAATTTTATTAAATTTACAAAAAAAAGTACTGGTTAATATTGGGTTTTTTTTTAGTTTCCATCTTCAAATTCCCATTTTTCGATCATTTTTACCTAATTTTACTTAATTGTATTGCAAAAATATCTAGCCGTGGTCTAAAAAACTTTTAAATATAAAATTTTTAATGTTTAATAAGTTGTCCTTTTAAAATTTACACACACTTCATATTACATAAATTAATATGTCCTATTAATACGCATTTGTTAAATTTTAGTGGATAAAATTTTAAATTAATATTTTTTTTCTAATATCATTTAAATAAATTACACAAATACAAAATATTTGAATTCTTTCCAAATATGTACTTTTCAATTTAAAAATTTTTCCAATTAATTTTCTTTAAATTATGTACGTAAAATATGAAATTAAAAAATATTTTATTCAAAATTCTCTAAATTAATAAAAAAATATAGTGCCTAAAAATATTTAAAACTAATAATTAAGAAAATAATATACGATGATAAAAATAATTGAGAAAAAGAAATGATTTGAATAAAAAAAAAAAGAATAAATAAAAACAGTTAATGTTAAAATATTTTGCTTCTTTCTTTTCCAACAAAAAAACAAAAAATGTTCATTTTTTAATAATTTTAGTTAAAAAACCACGCTAGGAATAATTTAATTAAAAAATTTTAATTTCAAATTCTCATATAGAAAGAGCATATCATAAAAAATTTTCAAATTGTCCCTAATAGTCGACTATTCAAAATTAATAATATGTTTAAAAATTACTTTTAAATATGCATATAATAAATATTTTATATATGTATGTATTTGATTGCAGGACTTGAATGATTACATTAAAATTTTTAATTGTTTTGAAAAATATTTATAAACCTTGTTACTAGCATTTAATTAAAATTAATTAAAAAAAAAACACACAATTATAAATTAAAACTGTATTAGATTTGAATTTTTTTTTTGCGTTTTCTGTTCTCTTTATGTTTTTTAAAACTATTTCAATAATAACCATTAATATTTGCAAATATATATGTATATATATATAGAAATAAATCATATAATATATGTACACAATATAGTATTGATAAAGTTCATAATCGACAAATAAAGTGAATTTAAATAACTTTCTGAGTAAATATTTAATTAAAACAAAACTAATTCAAAATCCAGAAACTACAAAATTTTCAAAAAAAAAAAAAAAAGAATATGTAAAAAAGTAAAAAAGATAAAGACTGTTTTTATAATACTTTAAATTATTTTTAATTTTCTTTTTGTGTTTTGATGAATAATTGCTAGGTTTACAAGAACTTCTTGCATCTTTCATAAAAATAGATTCATTTATTTTTGCATTTATTCTACTATTTATAAGATAATTGCATTACATACGTATGTATTGTACGGTGTTAATTTTTTAATTTGAATTTTGTAATTTCCGGATTTTATTGACAAAAACTAACCATAAATAAATAAATCTTTTATTGTAATTTAAAAACAAAAATGTTAATAAAATTTGATTTTATTATTTTAAAATTCTGTTATTTTTTATATATTTGAGTTTTTAATAATTCTTCATCAGAATTTAATAAATGTGATAGAATTACAAAATATATAATATTTAAATAAAATCTTATACATAACAAACATTATATTCAACAAAAAAAAAAAAAAATAATAATTTAAAAACTTAGCTAAAAACAAAAAAAAAAGAATAAAAAAAAATTAAATATTTAGAAAAATTAAATTTCATTACAGGTTATATTTAAATAATTAATTAAAAAATCAAGAAATATGTATACATTACTATATTGCAAAATATTAAATTAAAAAGTGGTGTTAAATGAAAATTTAAAACTAAAAATTTAATTTTTTTTTTTAAATAAGATTACCTTTCAACGTACATAAATGTTTTAACCAAATTTATGAATTATAATTATACCTAAATAATATTTCCTGAAATTTAACTTTGTTTATTTTTTCATAAAAAAAAACAAAAAACTTAATAAAATATACATAAACCTTCCTACATAAAAATAAATAATTTGTATTAATCTTAAACTCTTTTTTTTTTTATGTAAAGTTTAAATAGAAAAAAGTATAAAATATACATTATAAATATACATTAAAAGTAAATTTACAAAGAAAAGTTTACTAGTGAATTATGTAAATTGTTAATTTTATGGTAAGTTAAAGAAAAAAAAAAATAATAATAAAAGAAATGAAAGAAATTATTTTTTGTTTATTTTTTTACTAAATAAATTTTTAATTAAATTTTTTAAAGATCAAACTAATTTCGGTTCTATTTACATCAAAAGAACAGAGAAAATTTCTAACAGTTCTTCGAAAATCTAACAAACGTTTATACTATTTTGCAATTGCAAAATTTTAGTTTCCGTCTTATTATGCACTCCGGCTTCTACATAATATATTGTAAGAAACACGTTTTCGCTGAAGTGTTTCACGTTCTATTTCAAAAGTTTTCGATGATCAAATAATTTTCAAATTGTTTGGAAACCGTTTTGTATATGCAGAAAAAAGAGGAGACTGCCTCGAATTTCCCGATGCTTTTTATAAATTTTGTTAGAGAAGTGTTTCCACTATATGTAAAATTTAATAAAATCTTTCTGTTTGTTAAATATTTAAATATTATTTAAAAATTATTTTGAGAATCTAGTGAAAAAATCTAAGAGTTCAGGTTAAAAGACGGTTTAAAAATGTTTTTTTTTTTTTAACAATATGAAAGTAAGTCACACTTTAAAGTTATTTAAAACAATAAAATATGGAAAATTGTTTAAGATTTGTTAATAGCTCATCAGTATATTACAAAATATAAGCAAGTTTAACCTACGTTATGATGTGATATTGATACCAGGAGTTTTTAACAAGAAAGCATCACAAACAGATTTAAAACAATCACAAATTTTGGTAACTACAATATACTACGTAGATATTTCTATTTTTTAATGCAATTAAGGTAAGTTGACCGACAATAAGATGTATACCGACAAAGCTGTTGAATACGCGTCAACTTACAGTATTGATAATAATGAGGTCTTTTATATAAATCTTATTTTTGTTACTATAATTATGGATTTATATCTTTGCTAATATAGCATAGTATTTTTTTATTTATTAAATATATTTTAGGATTATTAGTCTAATTTTTAGGAGAATACAATTAAGAAAAGAAATCATTAGCCCATTCTGTTATTACGTACGTTATTTTTTATTTATAAAGAAATGAATTTTTGCTCTTCTAAAACTTACATTTTTGAGATAAAATACAATGTAGTTGTACCTGCATGTAATTGTACATCATGTCTTAAAATGGTAATTAGACATGTTTTTGATTCCTTGGTTTTTCAGTATTTAGATCTCTGCCATAATATTACATAACAGTAATATAAATAATAAAATTTATTTAATCAAAATAAGATATTAATTGCAATTCAAATATTTGTGGACATTTACCTATACAACTGGATTGATGCCACTAATTAGATTGATATTTTTGAATTATAATATTTCAAATCAATTTTATTTTCCTTAAATTTAAATAATAAGTTAAATATGTATACATATATAGGTAAATAAGAGCATTAATTATATAATAACAATAAAAATATATAAAATTTATGAAATTCCAGAATAGTTGGAGCTCCCACTAGGATTACCAGATGCATTTGCTCCAGCTTCTACAGACTCAGCTCCACTAATGGCCGGCACAGGCTGTCTTACTTTTTTATATGCTATTTCTAAACAATCTGTTATAACGTGCATGTCATTTTCTATACTTTTAGCCCAATTTTCTACATCACCTAATTCCTACACAAAAAAAAAGTTTTTTATTTTAGTTAATATGAATATTTTTCAAAAGCTGTAGGTAGGTAGATGCAAGCACATTACCTTTAAAGCTGTCGTAAAATTATCAATCAAATGCAGCCATTGCTGTGTTTGTTTAGCAAAGTTTGTTGCTCCAATTTGTAATTGCTTAGCCTCTGCGTCTAATCGTTTTTGATTTAGATAAGCTTGAGCTACACTATATAAATAAAATTAAATTAAAATAAAAATCCCTATACAAAATTCATTATTTACCTACCCAACATTTAAATGATCGACTAATGCTTGGGTAAGTTCTCTTGAAGCATCGAGGGCATCTTTCCTTCGAATCTCTACAACAAGCAACTAAATATCAATGAAACAAATAATTCATATAAATTTTACTTACCTTGCTCTTCTTTTTTAATTTCTTTTCTAGACTCATGTTCTTTTACCATAGAAGAAAGCATTTTATGTACAGAGTTATGGCACACAATTAGAGAAATATATTTGCTATAAAGTAATATTTTAAATTAAAATAAATAAATTATGTATTTCCAAACTTTTTAGCTACGTCAATATTTCTTTTGTCTGATTTGATTATTTTGAAATGTCAAATGCAAATCATAATCTAATTTGATTCATTCAGTGTTCGGCATTGATTAGAATTCAACGTATCAAAAACACAATCATTTGCGAAACTTCCACGCTAAGTCTTCACGTCAACGCTTCAGTGCTGATAAAATGGTAAGACGTCCCAAAAATGATAACCACGCAATACAGTTTATTTTGACATTGTTATTATTATTGATTATTCAGGTTTCAGCGACAAATATTCAGTTTTTCGAAATTCAGCAACTGTCAATGTCGTATGTCGAAGTATAATATAACTCACCCTATTTAAAATAGTGAATAGCATAAATATTTTAAAACTACGTGGGACTTTTTCTGTCATTGTGTCGCAATAATGTAAACGTTCATAAGCAAAAAAAATTCGAAAATGCTTTTCAGTTTCGTCATTCTTTCTTGCAAAGTGTATGTAAAATCAGTTAAGAATTTGCTTGAATACTGAGTGTATAATTTTTCATATATTTTTAGTCTCGTCACTTGCGGTGATTTGTTGTAATACTCAAAAATTTTGAAATTTTGAGTATTGTGTCAAATCACCTCAAAATTGTGAGTTCTATACCGAAATAAACATCTATGTCTTTTAATAATATCCTTTAATCACAAGTGACATGTGCATTCTCAATATGTGAATAGTATTTACATATATACATATGTGTTATGTAATATGTGTATGAAATAAATTCCGGCTTCTGAAATATAATACAAGGCTAACGTCAATTTGAAATCCCACGGCCGATATCTGATTTGAAATTGCGTCCTTATAACTTTAACACCTAGCTTCTCAGTCTTTAATTTTCCACACTTAAGTTTTTAATTAGAAATAATAATTCCTTCATATTTGCGTAGAATTTTTTAACTGGAATTTTTAAAAAATTTTATATTCAAACTATATTCAATAGCGTAATAAGAAATTGAAAGCTTCATTGCTGGACTAACACAATAAAATTGCTATATGTTTTACATAAACATGTAGAAATACAATTTTCATTACAACACTGTAAAAATAAAAAAAAAAAACAAAAAAGCAAGTTTAAATTTTTTTCAAAAACGAAAAAACAAAATATTCAAATGCGAAAATTAAGTTCAATATTTTAAGGTAAAATTTATCTGTTGTTGTCTATTGGAATGTATAAACGAGGGAATCTTGGGGTTAACACGATACGGGAAATCTTGGCATGGCAAAACGCAGATGTCCGTTTGCATTTCCAAAAAAATAGTATATTAGTGCATTTCCCAAAAAATATATAAACATACGAAAAATGATTTAGAGACCTCGAGGAATTTGACATTACGTTTTGTTTATACTAATATAAGTGTGCAAAAGTATATAAATAGGTTGTTTAAAAATTTTCCGCTATTTTGAAATAAAATAGAACATTATTTTTTTAGCAACAGTTTTGCCATAAACAATACTATTCATCTATTGTCATTTCATTCTTAAAAGACAAAGAAATGAGCAGCATTGCAACATTGGAATTTTCGACTATTCAGTCATGCAGTGAAAAATCTAATTTAAATGTTGCGTCTTCATAAATACTTACAAATCTACAGAAACTGAATATGTTACTCTTGCAAACTTGTGACACACTCGACTGAGTCTTAAATATTCAACTGTTTTCTATTATGTAATATTCTTCCAATTTATATTTCTGCCTTTTGTATTCTTAAAAATTCCTTAAAGCTTCAATCGCAACTGTCATTTATTTTTGCAGATTTTGCTGCTTTGACTTATCAAACATGCCTTATTTTAAAACTTAACTTAGAACTGAATTTTTGAAAGTCTCCACAATTAATGTGTTTTGGTAATATTGTACTGATAACTGAACGGCGATTTATGAATTTTGTACTAAATCGAAATATATATGTACATAATATGTATATTTGTATTTCAAATCGTCGATTTCGTTGTCATATCAACTACACTAATTCAACATATCAACTAAACTAATTTAAACAATTCCTACAAAGTTTTATACAATTCCTACATACATAAGTTCATAGTACATAGTAACACCAGAAATTGCAATGGTGTTGCACTTTTGCTTTATCAGTTATGGAATGAAATGAATGTTATTTTTTTGTGCTTTTGTAAACATTTGTTTTTCAAGTATTGTAGATGACTTCTGCGGGCTGCGAATTTAGAAAAATAAGACAAATTTTATTAGAACGTATTTAAAATATATTTTTGCATTTTATATTCTATATTATATTTTATGAATTAGTTTCTGTACATTTTATATTTAAATGACTTCATTTTCTAATATATGTATGCATTATTAATGGATTTTATTGAACGCCCACACAAAAAAAAAAATAAAAAAATATGTGTTACAACAAAATTTTTTTATGCTTTTTTTTTTTGCATTAAAATAATAATTACATATATATTTCAGTTTTTAAATTTTTATTATAACATTAAAACTATCAAAATTTCAAATTTTAAATGAAAACTTATAGAATATTGCAAATATCATAAAATTCTAATTACATTATTGGATTTAAATGTAATTTTGTAATTGCTGTTTTAACGTACATTCTTCTTCTGATAGATCTTATCAACTCCAATGCGCTTTTATTTTGACTCATATCAAAATATAAGAAATTCGATATACATATGTACGTTTAATTAAAATATCTCATTGAAATAAATGGAAACAACGACGACAAATTATAAACTAAATTCCATAATTTGATAACTAAATATTAAAAAATAAAGAGAAAAAAAAACTATGGTTACAAATGTAAATATTTCTAGTTTGTCTTCCTTTTCTCTCATTTGCTGCATATTCATTATTACAAATTATTACTTTGTTTTAAAATAAAAGATATCTTCCACAAGATATTTTGAAACAAAAAAAATTAATGATAAATTTATAGGTATATAGTTAATTTTTTATACAATTTCTTGATCAAAAATTAATTTTGATGTACTATTTATGTTGGAAATTAAATTATAATTTTGCTATAACCATTAATTCAAGCAAATTCTAAATGTTGTTCAGTTATTATTTTTAAAAATGAAAATTTAAGTAAACTAAAAATTAGAAATTTTTTTTTAAGAAAAAAAGTTGTTGTCAATAAAATTGATTATACTATTTTGGGTTTTTCAAAATAATAAAGAATTAAGTTTTATATCTAATATACGTATAAGATTATACATCATTTCATAAATTATAAAAGCTTCAGTTTTATACGCAATTTTTTCAGCGATAACGACCTGAAAGTAAAAATAGTTTCAATTTTTTTTTATTCAAGATCCTTTAATAAAAGTTTGAACGTACGATCGGTTCTTCTTCTGTCCCTTGGAGAATATGATCTACTTCGGCTTCGATCATAGTAGCTACGACTACGACTTCTTTCAAAACGGCGTCTCCTGCTATCACGATATGGTGATGGAGAACGACTAAAATATAAATTCATCCAAAAATTAGTCTAATTTTTCAATGTTTATGTTTACCCATTTCTACGATCAGCATAATCTCTATTGTAATTTCTAGTTAATTTTCCCATATATCGACCAGGAGTCGGTGTATGCGGTCTTTGAGTGATTGAATAATCTACCCTTATATTTCGGCCATCTACTTCCAAGCCACAGCATTTATCTTTAGCTACCCTAGCATCAGCTACGTCGTCAAAATATACAAAGCAAAATCCACGAGAACGTCCAGTCTATTTAAATAGTTAAAAAGTTTTTAATGATTCATTTTTTGGAATGATTAATATAATGATTATATGTAGAAGAATGCCTTTACAAAAAAAAATTTAACTAAAATTTTTTTTTGCCTAAACTATTCTTCTTTAAAATGGTTTTTATAGCCAAAGTAAAATTTTTTAATGAATATATTTAAATCCCTAAATATGTGAATATGTTTCATTGGCATAGAGTAAATGTAAATTAAAAATTATTAAAAAACAAAATAGAGAAACTTACTTGAGCATCAATAACCATTTGTATACGTTCAATTGGACCAAATTTTTCAAATATATCACGAATTTTATTTTCGTCGGTGTATGTACTTAAACCAAAAATACCAATACACCGACATGGTCGTGGACGTTGTTCCTAAAATTACATTTTATGCTCGAATTTAAAAGGCTAATACATATTATATATTAAATATATATTTTTTAATACTTACATTGCGACGTCTTGAACTATATGGGCTTCTTGAATGAGAACTACGACGCCTTGGAGATATTGATCTGGATACACATTTTTACAAAGTTTAAATATTTTAAGATTGTATTTTTGAAGAAAAAAAAAGAATTTAAAAGTGAGTTCATGATTAGTGTTTAAGATCTTCGGCTTATTTTTAATATTGTGTAGAAGATTCTAGTAATTGTTATTTAAAAAATGTTGTGAGTTCAATCTAACATTTGCAATTTTTGATTGATGTTTTCAAAATGCAACTTGGCATATTTTTGTTTGCAGTTAACATTCAGATGGCAAGTTTCTTTAAAAATTTATATTATATTTTTTTTTTCAAAGTTCTACTTTTAGTTCTCGATATTTCGTGATATATTTTTCATTGAAGAAATTTCTTTGATAATACGAAACTTTCTAAATAAATATGATCTATCATAATTCTTCATTTATTCAAATTTTTGAATTTCAAACTACACAGACAAAAAAATAGTAGTCAATTACATTTTTAGCTTTTTTCTTATTATATATATTATGCGGACATGAAAATTGGGAATAAGGGATAATTATAGAAAAGGAATACGTACAATTTTGTTTTTTTCTTGTGTCGGTTGAAATTATTTTCAATGTGCACTTTACCATATTTTTAAAATCAATTTAAAAAAAAAAACAGTTTAGCCCAAATCAAATTACTTACACAATTTAATGATCCAAAAAATTTTGTTTTACAAATTTGTGAAATATGCGTCTACTAATGCTTAAGATTTTTTATTTAGTTTAAAAAAAATAGTTTACTTAAGCATGTTAAACAGTATTTCACAAAGAAGACCATTAACATGAATTTAAATTTAATGTGCCAGGAAGTATATATTTTATTTATATAAATATGCATGTACTGAAAATATGCTTGATAGGGTATAAATGTACATAGGTATAACAAAAATTAGGCTTCCATTGAAAACAATTTTATGAGGATTATAGAAATTTTAGTTAGGTAGGTGGATAACCAAATTCAAATTAAAATGCTGATAACATTTTAAAAGTGAAACTATTTAATAGGACGGTTAATATACATATTACACCTAATTCTTTTTATAGAGTTCAAATACTAACCTCGATCTGCTGGGAGTTTGACGTTTTTTATATTTCCTTACACTTCGGGATCGCGTTCTGGATCTCTCGCGTCTAGAAATTAAAATCATCATAAAAATTTGTAATTTATTAATTTTTGGTAAACTTACCTTTTCCTCTCTGAAGACCTTATAGGTGAATGAGAAGAACTTTTTCGTAATGGACTTGATCTCGAATTCTACATAAAAATAAAATAAAAACATATATTAGAGGTTATGTTAACTAAAAATTTTTCATTTTACATTTCCGAATTCAAATAGAGCTGGCATCTTGTAATTAATCGCAAATGTTATAGATTTTTAAATCAATATTTAAGTAAAATAAGCGTGTTTATTTGAAATAAATAAATTTGTTTTTGGTTTTCGTAGCAACCGCAAAAGCTTCAATTTAATTCTTTAAATGGCTTCGCCTCATATTTTTCCGAATTCTTACCTCACGACCGCTCATTCTTTCAGGCATTAAAAATTATATTTCTAATTATTTGATTTTTTTTTTTTACTTTTAGTAGTTTAATAAATTTAAAATAAAAAATATTTCCACAAATTTTCCTCAAAATTATAATCCTTACAATTTCAGCAGCACAAAAAAAGTGCAGGAAAAAAAAACAAAAAGCCCTTTTATCAAATCAAAACAGCCAACTTTGCTAAAAAATTTATTTGAGATTAAAAAATTCGAGGCAAAATAAATTTCGGGTTGGTGTTGCCAGTTTAAAAGTATTTTGCTACATCGCAGAGCCCTCTTAGTTAAACGAAAATAAGTCATTTACGCATTATAAAATTTTATTATGCTTTTGCTAGTACAAGGTTGAAATAAGAATGTAAGCAAGAAATACAAACACTACAATAATCACTGGAATGGAATTAACTATACGTGCTTCTGTCATATTGTGTAAAATTCATTTAATAAAAGTGTTTTCACTTTATAATTTAATAGAGCAGCTACTTTACAGTACCAAAAAAACAAGCTAAAACTAAAAAGAATAACAACTCACTAAAAAGGATAGATGACAAATTACTTCATAAAATAATTATTATTAAACAGGATTTTTTCTAAAAGTTCAGACATCTGGATAACAGAATCTGTAGATTTTCACATTGAGTATAAAATCAACTTCTTACCTATGCAACTAAACTAAAATATTAACTTATATTGTTTTTATGTTAACATTCCTATTCAAAACTATTAAGATTTTGTTTTTCCATATTTGATCCTCCAACCGATGGTTGTCATTGTTGAATTCTTTTACTTACAGACTGCATATTTTTTTATCAACTTTGTGTAAGCTGCTTTTTATATTTTGTTGAAAAACCATGTGACCATCATAAAACATATTATAAAAGAAAATCGGTCAAATTCGCTAAATGTGTAACTGGTGTCTAGAACTTGCAAAGGCAAACATCTGGTGGTGAAGTTTGTAGTTTTTGACTTTTCCAATATTCTAAACACCTTATGTCAAAATTTTGAAAATTAATTTTGTTATGTTGTAGTCCTGACGGAATGACTAGCGCTTCGTTTGATAAGTAATTTTGTGACATTACAACCAAATTTTCTAGAATCAAGATTGTTTTAAAAAATAAAAAAAAAATACGAGTTGTTTGAAATTAACTATTTTGGAAATTGTAAGAAATTTATTAGTAGAAAGTTTTACATAGAGGAAAAATATGGCAGGGGCAACATTATTTGAAAGAGCTCAAGCTCTGACAACAGTTAATCGTGAAGAAGGCATTTCTTTGTTGAATAAAATTGTCCGTGAACAGGAAGTAGCAGAAAATGATGACGAACTCATTAGGATTAAAGAACAGGGAATAATGCAATTAGGTGAACTATACAAACAGGAAGGTAAGGCTAAAGAACTTGCCGACCTGATAAAAGTTACCAGACCGTTTTTAAGTTTAATAAGTAAAGCAAAAGCAGCTAAACTTGTACGATCATTAGTTGATCTATTTTTGGATATGGAAGCTGGAACTGGTATAGAAGTTCAACTTTGTAAGGAATGTATTGAATGGTCTAAACAAGAAAAACGTACATTTTTGCGTCAGTCTTTGGAAGCACGTTTAATTGCGTTGTATTTCGATACGAAGATGTATACAGAAGCATTGCAATTAGGTTCACAATTGCTAAGGGAATTGAAAAAATTAGATGACAGAAATTTATTAGTTGAAGTACAATTGCTTGAAAGTAAAACTTATCATGCTTTAAGTAACTTACCAAAAGCTCGAGCTGCTCTAACTTCAGCAAGAACAACTGCAAATGCAATTTATTGTCCGCCAAAAATGCAAGGAGCTCTTGATTTACAATCTGGAATACTGCATGCAGCTGACGAAAGAGATTTCAAAACAGCTTTTTCATATTTTTACGAAGCCTTTGAAAGTTTTGATAGTGTAGAAAGTGGAAGAGCGCTAACTGCTTTAAAATATATGCTGCTGTGTAAAATTATGTTGGGACATTCTGATGAGGTCAATCAGATTATTAGTGGTAAAATGGTGAGTAAAATTTAATACTGTTATTTTAAGTATTAAAACATTTTTGAATTAAAGGCTATCACTTATTCTGGAAGGGATATTGATGCAATGAAAGCAGTTGCTGAAGCATCACATAAACGTTCATTGGCTGATTTCCAAAATGCACTGAAAGACTATAGAAAAGAACTAGAGGAGGATCCTATTGTCAAAGCACATTTAGGTACACTTTATGACACAATGTTAGAACAAAATTTATGTAGAATCATCGAACCATACTCAAGAGTACAAGTAAGTATTTGTTTAGCAAATTTTATTGCTGTTTTCAATGTCGCTCAAAATTCTTTGTCTTTATTTCAACTTACGTAGTATGCATTCTTCTTTGTTCAAATTGCATATTTAAAAGTAAATTTTTATTTCTACATATACATACATACATACATTATATACATATTGATTGAAAATTGAACTTTAGTAAATAGTTTTAACATAAATACAATTTTGTATTTTTAATTTTAGGTTGAACATGTTGCTGCGTCAATTAAGTTACCTATGCCGCAAGTAGAAAAAAAATTATCTCAAATGATATTGGATAAAAAATTCAGTGGAATTCTAGATCAAGGAGAAGGCGTGTTAATTGTCTTTGAAGAAACTCCAGTTGATAAAACATATGAACGAGTGTTGGAAACGATTCAAAATATGGGAAAAGTAGTTGATACTTTGTACCAAAAGGCGAAAAAGTTATCATAGACTTATATTTCTTGCCGTAGCAATTATCGCTTAAATATTTTTTAAAGCATATAAAAATCCGAAAATATTTCAATCCAACGGAATTAATTGTTAATTTTTCTCATTTTGTAAAATTTTCTAATACAATGCTAAAATACAAATAAAATTAATTTGGAATGAAAAAAAAATATTAACTTAATTATGAACTTATATTTAAATTAAAATAATATTTAATGTGTATATATACATATACATTCATTTTTATATAAAAATAATAGAAAAAAATACAAAATATCAAAATTTACTTAAGGAGCATTCAATAGTTACATGCAGGTCCAGGATTTTAGTTTAATTTTTACTTATTTTAAAACAAATTAATAAAAATTGAACATTAAAGACGAATTGGTTTTTCTTTTGTTTTAACACATTTTGCAGTATAATTGTTATTAAAAGATACATCGACAATTAAAATGATTCTTTCTAAAAAAAAATGTTAAAATTTGTAACTGAAATATATTGAATAAAACTTTTAAATAAAAAAATTAATTTATTACGTTATTGCAATACTGATTATTTTGCATACTGCACTGATATGATTATGTATATGGGTTATGAGGAATTTAAGTGAAAGCTGTTTCAATTAGAATGGTACATATTTAATTTTAAGAGTAATGAGTTCGTGACTGAATTTAAAATTATTGAGTACATAATTTGTCTTTATTCTATGAATGCTCGCAAAAATTAATTCGAGAAAGTAGAGAAGATTTAAAAATTAACAAAGAGTGAGCGATTTTTAAACTTTTGATAATACACAATTACTTTGTGAATTATAAATGAATACAATTTTGAAATTTTTAAAAATAAAATCATGGGTATAAATTATAAAATAAGAAAAATATATGCACTTTCAGATAACATCTGTCGATAAAGACCTACATGTATATTCAGATTTAATTCTTATTATTTAATATTAAAAATCAGTAGACAGCATAAATTATGGAAAATCTTTGGAAATAGAAGGCCGTGAGTTATTATTTTTGATAAAACATATAAAAACTATAATTAAGAAATATTTTGAAAATATTTAACACAAGAATGGATAGTTCACAAAATAGGTGAGTACTAAATAATAATTTAATATTAATAGTTTAATATTCGATATTAAGCTTCAAATTTCAATACAAGCTGTTAATAGAAAACAATGTGTTGCAAAAGTAATATAAAATGTGGCTAAAATGTTTTTTAGGGAAGCAAGTTTAGACAAGAAAAGTGTAAGCGACAAATATAGAATAAAATTAAGATCTGGAAAATTCATTCAAGAGGCTGGTTCATCCAATATCACGTCATCTTTGCAAGTTCCTGGAATTGCATCGGGATATATTTTGCATAAAAACGAAAGTTTTGTAAGTAAGAACAATTATAGATTTGGTCTCATCTTGTATGAAATTTTTTTTTTACAGAATTTCCTTTCTTTTTCAGTCTTATGACACAAAACCTCTCGAAGGCGGATATGCATGGGTTATTCTATTTGCAGCATTTTTCATTGGAGTAATTACTGAAGGCAATATAATGTCTGTAGGTACTCAGTTTTTACATACAATATTACGTAATTATTCTTTATTACTAAAATAAGCCGAATTTGAATTATAGGTGCTATACTGCCAGGTATTGAAAAAGACTTTTCAGTTGAGAAATACACAACGGCCTTTATTGCTTCAAGTCAAACAAGTAAACATTTAAAAGTTCATTTCAAAATTTATTTTCAAAAATTTTATTTTCTCACATTTTTGTAGCAACTTACTATTGTATGGGCATTATAACGAGTGCTTTTATAAATAAATTAAGTTTTCGTACTGTAGCTTTTTTTGGTTTAACAATAAGTATTTTGGGTTTGATCATTGGTTCTTTTTGTACAGATTCAATAAGTTTGACAATATTTTTTGGATTTTTTTGTAAGTATTCTAATAATATTTTCTTATATTACATTAATATTTTTAAGATTGAATTATAATATTAAGTTACTAATAGTTGGAAGTGGTGTCGGTATGCTTGCAATGGTTAGTCAACTTATTGTAGCACATTATTTTGAGAAATATCGAGGAGGTGCTGTTGGATTACAATCATCGTCCGCAGGAATCGGTTTACTTTTATACGGACCATTAAATTCATATTTAACTAGAAATTTTAATTGGTCAGTCAATTTACGTCTAATGACAGTTTCTTTCCTTTTTTGTTATGCATGTTGTGCAGTATTTAAAAAATGTGAGCCAATTAAAGTTGATGTAAATATAAGAAGCGAGTAACGTGAATTATAAAAATTTGCTTTAATAAGAATTTTAATATTTATTTTTAATTCTTATTCTGCATAGTTAAGAACACAATCTGATAATTCATCAGATTCTAATTCAGAAGAAGCTGTTGAAATAGAAAGTAGAATTTATTCATATTTCTCTAAAACAGATTTAAAAGAGAAAAATAAAGAAGAGGTTTTTCTGGCAAGTATGAAGCAAAAACAAAGTCAAATGCTCTTGGGTATGTTTAAACAAAACAAATTGAAAATTACAAAAATTTATCCTTAATATTTAATATTTTTTGTGATTTATTGTAAAGCTCCTGCTGGTGAAGGAAAAATGGAAAATTCTGTAACGGACAGTTCTAATATTGAAAATATTATTGTTATTGAGATTGATGATGGAAGTGAAGTCAAATCAGAAGAAAATACTTCAATACATTCTGAAAAGGAACAAAAGGTTTGAAAATTTTTAAGCAAATCATAAAATATGCTTTTTACAGCTTATCTTAAAAAGATTTCGGTACATTTCTTTGTTATACATACATATATGTTCAGAAGTTTTTTTTTTGGTCGGTTTTTAAATGTTCTAACATAACGTTTGTCCAAGGTTGTCTTTGATATTAATCATTATCTTTTCACTGTTTCTGGGGGTTAGTTATATCATAAGTTTTACAAATAGGTAATATGATAATATGAAATACATAGCAGTATTCTTACATAAAAATAATACCGAAACAGACTGCTTGTTTTAATATATTCCAATTAAAGCTTTTAAATTGCATATAGTAAGGCGCATAATACCAAAGCGAATTGCATACTACACTAGAAGTCAAATAAAAAAATCTGTTACAAGCGAATTTAATTCAAACTTGTTGAATTTTATTATGCAGTTGGCAATAATTTGAATTCAATTCAACAAAGTTCGCCGTTTTATTCTTCTTAAAAGCTCATTGATCAAATATATCCGAGTTTATGTAAACGAATCATAATATTTCATAGATATTTTTGGTGTATGAATTTTTTTTATACATATGTATGAATGTATGTCGAGATTTCCACAGAAATGTAGTTTTCCATTTAACATAACTGTACAACCTTTTCAAAAAAATTCATGATACTTTGGGAGCAATTTCAATTTTTAGCAATTGGACCTTTTGTTTTTCTTTAACCGATTGTTGCTTACTTTTCTCAAATTTAATATTTAGTTCAGTATATTTATCAGATTTCAGGAAGTAAATCTTCATAAATCACCTAACCATATAATGTAGTTATCTTTTCAGAGGTAAAGAAACTTATTAATTTTCTTCAAATTAGCGAAATATTATTTAGTTTTATAATCAAAATTTGATCGGTCTAGTGGTAGACACGTTAACTTGATTAAAAATTCTTTTATTTCTGAATATTCTGGATTGTGGGTATCAATTTCACTTTTATTGATTACTTGGTGTAATTGCTAACCTCTGCCTTTTTTGAGTTATCGGGATTCAATATCAGTGACTATTAAAATGCAAAATATTTGATTGTATTTATGAGATTACTAAAAATTAATCTTTCGAAAATTCAGGTGAATACAACAATTTCAGAAATTCATGAAAAATCAGATGAAGATCAAGAGAAATGCTGTACAATAAATCAAAAAATTATTGCGGCACTTAAAATTTTATTTGATCTAAAATTATTAAAATCGACTCCGTTCCAGATTATACAAATAGCTTCATGTTTTTTAATAATGGGTCACGCAATACCATTTTTATATGTGATAGGTATATTATAACACACTTAAAATTCTAATTTTAAATCTCAATTCTCTACAGAAAGAACACGAATTCCATCATTTTATTCAAATTGGCTTCTTTCATTTATTGGTATTGTTAATATTATTTTGAGAATATTATTGGGAATTACGGCACAATATACAAAAGAATATACTGCATATTTATGTGGTGGATGCATAATATTTGGTGGAATCGGTGTATTAATTAGCTGCTTTGTTACACATAATCATATTTGGCTGGAATTTTTTTACTGTGGGATGTTTACTTTTTCTAGTGGTAATAAATATTAAAATTATAGAATTTTATAATTTTAAAATTTAAATTTTCATATTTTAAATTTATTTTTTTCATTTTAGCGGCATTTTTTTCTTTAGATTCTATAGTAATAATAAATGCTATTGGTATTGATAATTTAATAAATGCTTTTGGATTAATTTATCTTGGTGCTGGAGTTTTAACTTTTATTAGTACTAATATTGCTGGGAATTTAGTTACATATTTTCATAGTACAGAGCCGGCATTTATAATGTCAACATGTTTTTTAATAATTTCTGGAATACTGTTTACGATATCACCAATTTTAACTAAACATCTAAAAACCAAAGAACATGAAAATTATGGAAAAGTTATTGAAAAAATTAATTTTCTGAAGAAACTATTTTCGGGGAAGAACAAAAAATGAACGTAAGGAATTAATTTAAATATTGTTAAAAATATTTTTATTTAAAATAGAAGTTTTATTTGAAATATTTGAAATTGCATTAGAAGGATTTTGAAGTGAAGAGCAGAATTGATAAGCAATTGGTTGAAATTGAAAAATAATTTATGAATTTTTAATTCTTAATTCCTAATGACTATAGTTTAGTAACATGCTAATAAAGGCACTAAAAAATAAATAATTTTCATACAATTGTTATATAATTAATTTTTTTGTAGTGATAAATAAATAATGTAAAATATCAGAGAAAACCTAATGGATCAATTCATATGGTCCTTCACCTTATTGATTACAATTTAGCAATAGGGGATTTCATGTTCATAAATAGCATGTTCATAAATGGCAGTTGTTCTTAAAGCTCTAAATGAGCTTTTGAATTTTTTTTATAAATACTGCATAGATATTGGAAGGAGAGCATGATAAAAAAATGTTGGGTATAGAAGAATAACTGGAGCATGTTTTAAATCACAAAGTAAAATATTCAGTTTATGTAGATTTGCATGTGTTTTGGAAAAAACTTTTAAGATTTAATTTCAGTGCATGTCTGAATTATCGAAAATACCTATCTTTATCAAGAAACTTGACAAGCAAAATTTGTTTATGAATACAAATATCGCACAGTTTAAACTATACATCGCGATACCGTGCATTTACTGCAAATGGCCTAACGTATAATTTCAATTAACATGTAATTAACTCTTAGTTTAATATTTTAAATTTTAATTAGTAGATTTTAATTGCCGTTTTAACAATCCTATTTTAATAAATATATTATAATAAATTTTATTATTAAATGCTTTCTTGATTTATTGTGTGTTCTTGTAATCCAAGAAGAATTATCTTGGAATATTTAAAAGAGCCACAAGAAGAAAAACGGATTTAAAGTTATATTGCATACAATCAGGCGTATAATATGAATAAATTTTAATTATAATTTCATGACATTTTAATTAAAATTTATTTATATTATTTTTCTTGAATTTGGAGATTTAACAGATAAGTAACAGATAAACCATATAATAACTAATTGGTCTCCATGAATTGCCAAGTGTTCTAAGTTACAAAATTTACAAAGTTATTACAGCAATAATAAAATTCAACTTATTTGATTTTGTGAAAGTGATAAAAGTAAAAACATTTTTCATTTCATGTAAATTTTCTTTTATTTTATGAAAAATTAGTTTAAATGTTCGTCAAATTGTGTATACTATTATAGATTTCAAAAGCATTACTTTAGCCATTTGCCTTTGCAGACAATATTTTTATTTTAAATTTGCCTTTTGAAGAAAATTAACGTGAAATTTATTGATACAAATTTTGAAAAAGAAGTTTGAGCTGTGAGTACAACCACTATAAAAACTAACCGTTAGCTTTCTACATTTATAAAAATTTGGAAAAGTTTGCAGTTTCGAAAATATAATATGCCAAAAACTCGAATTTTACAAATTTCGAGACGCGATAACTTGAGAGGGGTGGAGGTGGAAAAAATTTTTCTCCTATCGAAATGAACTATTTATTAGTTTCTAAAAGCTAGTAAAACTTCAGACCTGGGGTCTAGTTTTGCAACCTAGGATCTAGAAAAAAAAATGGCATAAAAAATTTGAAAAAAAGGGGATTTAGATAACGATAAATTTTAGCGGCGATTTTTTTTAAGTTCAAATATATAGTATAACATAGTATAACAATCGTGGTAGAACAAGCCAGACACCATATTCCAGCGTTTGCAAAATTTGGAAATTGCTTATGGTTTCGCTGCAATTGATAGTTAAAAAATGCCGTTTATAGGGCTTTTGGCGGTATAACTTATAAGGGGGGGAGGTAGGTATAAATTTTATTCTACGGAACAAAATTTCTAGTGAAGATGTACGCACATTCAAAATTTCAGATTTCTATATTGAAGGGTGTAGAAACTTTGTAACAAGATTCACGGGCGGAAAAGTGCTAAGAACTAGCGAAGTTTTTCAAAGAGGACGGCAGCTGCTTTTTGAATTTACTCTCTTTCAAATTGAAAAGAAATCCGAGCAAAAAGTTTTTTTTTTTTGCCAATTTAATTCAACTAAAAGGCTGCTTTTCAACCTTTCAAATATTTCGATGAAGTATTATATTAAAATAATATAAAATTATATTTTCTATTAATTAAGAACTTAAATTATTTTTCATTTCAAATTGCTGGCAACTTTCTTTCGTACAAAAAGATGACTTTAATAATACCAAAACAGAATTGCAAAGCAAAGTGGAAATTACGTCATGCGCACATAATTTTATTATTTTTATAAATTTAACAAATAAATTATTATTTTTGAAAATATTTTTATATACATACTCGTATGTACATAAGTACATAGTTTGCACATTCACATTTTCATATACTTACTTTTGAACATTAATTTGTAAAGCGAATTGAGTGGAGCGAATATTTTACGAGCTTTTTTTTACAAATTGAAGTATGTGCGTGTGATTGTTAATTTTAAGGATAAAATTTTTTACTAAAGACATGTGTCATTTAAGCATAAAAGTTAAATCGTTTGTTTAATTTAAAGTTAACTACCAAAAAATTGACATTTACTTCACATTTAAAACGATATAATTATAAAAGGTTGCTTGTGCAAAAAAAGGTAATTTTAAACAAACAAAAGCTCTTCCGAAAAAAGAAAATCTTTTGTTTTTAATGAAATTTTTATGTTTGAATGAAAATTAAGTTTTGTTCCTTCCTATTATAGGTGCTTTTTTTGTTAAAAAAAGTGGGGCTGCAAAATTTATTTTGAATGAAATTTTATTTTAAGTTTTTAAAATTTTTTGTTAATTTTAAAATTATTTTTAAGTTTTTTATTTCGAATTTATTTTTACAGAACAGGTTTCGGCAAAAACGAGGGTTCCATTAACATATATTTCTACTGTTATCGTACCGTTTAGTGACGAATACTTTTCAGTATATAAATGAAAATATTACAATGTTCCATCTTATAGTTGCCGTACTTTATTATGTAGTATAGCTGCCATACATTAGGTAAATAGCGCTTTAAGGTTTATTTTTATGAAAACTCTTTAAAACTATCTTGTGCAAAATAAAATGGGACTTGAAATTTTTAATATTAATTGTAGCTTTACAGTGTGTATACTATGTAAATTTGTATATTGCATATTATGTACTAATTATTTAGGTAACAAAAAGAGCTGATAATTCAGTTCCAACTTATTACTAAATTTTCAGTTTCGTTTCATATTAAAGCACTGATAACATAAAATATTTTTGAAAATATGCAAATATTTTCCATGTCAAAATCCGTGAAATTTAATCTGTTAAGAAATACAGCACAATTTTCCATATTTTAATTTTAAAATTGCAAAAACATTTTTCTCTTTAGTATAAAATGTACCGAGGCAAAAATATACTTTTGGTGGTAAAGCTAGTTAAATTCTAATTTAGAAAATATTGCTATATTACAAAAATTATTATGGAAAGTAATCTTATTCGTTATTATCGTTAAACTTGCAATAGTTAATTATTAAAATTGAAAACTGTATTTTTATGATTATTTATAAAATTCATATTGCTTCTTATCCTATTAAATTATTGGTTGCAAAATAAAACTTTCAATTTCGGCTGATTTTTTCATTTTTATTAAATTTATTATAAAAAAGAATTGGGAGCCTACAATTTTGTTTAAAATTTTTTTTTCGAAATGAAGCCATAACTATATATAATATATTTTTTTTGGAATAGGTTTTAAAATAATCAATGTGTTTAATTATTTAAAATTATTAGCTATAGGGGAATCGGTTTTAATTCTACCATATTTTTAAAAAATTACGAAAACTCCATTTAATTCTATAAAAATGTAATAAAATGTGCTTATATACATATTATATACTTTGATTAAATAGAATTTTAATCGTTGTAGAAATACCTTAAAATAAAGATTAATATTCAACTGAATTTTTAATGCAAATTTTTAAATTTTAAAATTTTTAAACAGAGTTCGTGAAATAATTTTACCCATGTTAAAAATTCTTGGCCCTTAAAATACTGTTATAGATGCATATATGTGTAATAAATACTAGCCATGTAATAAAAACTGTGAAAAATAAACTGTGCCAAAAAATTTTTTTATTAAATTTTGCAGCTTTATAATTATAGGGTACTATTCACAATTTTGTTTCAAATTTGTTAAAATATTTGGTTAATGGGTTTAATTTATATTGCAAATTATAAAATCTAATAAAAAAGTTTATTAACACTTAAATAAATTCGATTTTCCTTCTAAAAACTTAATACATATATTTTCTAAATTTGAGTCCATTGAAAATTCTAATAAAAATTTTTTAATTCAATTGCAATTTTTCGATTTTGCAAGTTTTTACTTTAAAAAAAGAAAATTAATTACAGAAATTTTTATATTGCATACAGGGTTTTGCAACATACAAGATGCAGTTTTATGTGGGTATAAAACATACATCAATAAAATATTTTCAAAGGTTTGCTTATTTGTATTTTTGTGGGGAATAAATTGGATGTCACCTGTTTTATTTTTAAATTTGAAAGTTGGAAGTATTTGGTATATGCATGCATTCAGAATAATTCAGATAAGAAATCAGAATAACATCAATGTACCAATACTTTGATATATTCTAAATCATTATTATTTTTCAATTCGATGCTATTAAAGAGCTTTTAATACACAACATTAAAATTTCCTATAATTTCATTGAATTCTTAATATTTTGAGACGTCACTGTCAACAATCACTATGAAGAAATATAATCAAAGAATTTGTTAAATTTAATTTTAAGCTTTTTTTCCTTTTTCCGTTAATACACTTCCATTTTCTTTTATACATACATATCACATATTATATTTGTACATATGTGCGTGAATTGAAGGTGAACATAATAAAAAAGCATAGAAAATTTCATTTATTATTTTTTTTTTTATATATTTATACCATTATTTTTATTCTACATCAATTCGTCGTCGTCGTCGTCGTCGTTGTGATGGTGGTGTTCGTCGTCGTCTATTTCATATTATAAGAAAAAAAAGAGAAATTATTATAATATTAAAATAGGAAAAGTGAAAAAGAAAAAAATTTAATCGATTTTTATCTATCTGAATAAATTCAAAAAAAAAACAAAAACGAGGAAATTATTAATATTTTCTTTATACTATTCCAAAATAGAAAAAGAAAGAAAAATATTTGAAAAACTTGTAAATTTTAAAAAGTATTTAGAAAATTTAATATAGAAAAAATTTTAGGAATTCAATAGGAAAAATATATATGTATTAATGTTTTTATAGCTCTTGTATAAGCTTTATACCTTTAATTTTATTTTGTGTTAAAAAAGACAAAAAAATTCAAGAGAAAAATTTTGTTTTTCCAAGAAAATTAATAAAATTTTTATAAAGGAATAAATGAATTTGAAAATTAAAGAAAAAAATTGTTTTTAGAAGGTTGTATTTAAATTTTAAAAAAAAATAAAAAAAATTTTAATAAAAAAAAGGAAAAATTTTTATTCTATATATAAAAAATACGTGTGTGAGTGTGTGTGTACGTGTATAATATATAGATAACATTGAAAAAACACAGTAAATTTTATTTTTCGTGAAAAATATTTAAGCAATTAAATAAATTACTTGATAATTATATAAAATAAAAAATTATTAAAAATTCAGATTTCAATTTTAATTTCTGGAGTGTAGAAAATTCGAAAATTTTTGTGCTTTTTATAATATATAAGTGCATATAAATGAAAAATTTCAATAATTTTATGCTAATAAAATAAAATAGAAAAATTTTGCTATATATATATATATATATATATATTAAAATAGTGATCTCTTAATCATTTTTCTTCCGTCTTTACAAAAACAAAAAAAATTTTACTTAATTTGATTTTCTTTTTTTTTTTGGAAATATTTCTGTGATAAAAAATATGTTTTTGACTAAGAGTTATTTTATTTATTATATGTAATTTTTATAATTTAACATCCTATATACATTAAACATCATATGTAAATGAATATTAAACTATATATATATATATATATACATATACACATGTGATGTTTGTACAAAATAATATTAAAAAATTCACTATATAAATTCATTTATATGTGTGTGTGTGGTGTATTTTAAGTGAAAAGTAAAATATATAATTAATATCTATATATGTGTAAGTATATATTTTGTAATATATTCATAATAATATATTGGTAGTTATTTTCATTTTTTCAATATACAACGTATATATGTATGTCTACATATAGGGTGATTTCGAACTATTGAATGAATAATAATTGAAAATTATGATAAATGAAAATTAATTGATTGATTCATTAATGCACTGCTAATTGTCTGAAACACTTGTTTAACTAAAAGGTCTCCAGCTCAAGTCACTACAAAAATTATATCCAATATTAAAAAAAACACCAGCAAAATAAAACAAAAAATATCAATAACTTTAAAATATTTAACAGGAAGAGAAAACTACGATAAAGTCATCTCCTACCCAATAAATTCAATGAAGCAAAAAACTGGTTCATTGTTCACCGATATCATGTATTAGCCCTATGCTCCTCCCAGGAGCGAATCATAATCCTTTATAAAAACCAAAAAAAATAGAATTCCTGAGTTATGAATACAGAAATAAGCAGTTAAAACACCATTTCCTTAGCTTAAAAATAGTAGCTTTATAATAAATTAAAAAATGTTAGTAAAGCGAGAAAAAATTATATGTATTTACTCAAAAATTTTAAAGTAAATGTTATATCAGTGTTATATCAGTGTTGCAATAAAGGAGCGGTATTGCATTTATTAATCGACTACATATATGTATGTATATAATTTACAACTGAATAATTAGAAATACCTACAGATTAGAGGTATATCGTCTTTTGCCTAATATAAAAATTTTCCCTTTTTCATCCCCAAGTGGAGTGTAGGATTCTTGCATGACATCATACTTCAGCTTCGTTAGTTGTAAAATTTCAAAATTAATGAAAATTTTTGTATTATCTTATACTTGATTTTAACGACTCTTGAGCTTTTTAAATTACAAGTATAAAAGTAATGAGTTGAAATGGTTTTCACATTTTTTAACTTAAATTTAAGTTTAGCTGCTTGTATATTTGTATTTATGAATTAAAAGAATAATAAAGCGCAGCAAAACTTAATTTATTTAATTTGTTCATTATTTAAAATCTAATTTTGTTCTGAAATCTAAAAATTTTTATTCTAAATTTTATTCATTTGTTAATCCAATATTATACAATTCCCAATTTCTAAAATCCATTTGGAATCCATTTTTTTTCAATTCTAAATAACAAAGAAATATTAAAACGCTTCTCGAATTTAAAATATGTTAAGCTACTTAACTATGCCTCAGTTGTAAGGCGTTGTTTAGCTTTATCAAATAAAATTTGGTTACAACTAGAATTTTTATGGAATTTTCTTCAAATCTTCATTACTTGGAGAATTAATTTCAAATCGTATTTTAGATAAAAAATTTCAATTAAACTTTATCATTTCCAAATCCCCCTGTATATAATATTATATAGGGTATTTGAATTATACCAGTTAAACAAAAATGTTTGCTTTTTAATTTCTTTATGTCATTTCTTGTTCGAAAAAGCAAAAAAAAAAATATATATGTATATATACAAAAATCAGTGGATGAAAAGGAAAGGAACAAATAAAATAATTGGTGTAATCTTATTTATCAGGGTCAAGTATACTTTTTATATATACACATATATACAGACGTAAATATGTATATGGAAAAGAAAATATTTACATATCTACAAAAATATTATGTATGTACGCATATAAGACATACATACATATTTATGAGAACAATATATGAGCAAATATGAGCAAATATGAATAAGAAGTTTTATATTGTACTTGTATATACTAATTTGTATTTATTGATATTACAGATTTATTTACATAATATATGTTTATATGTTTGTTATACACACACAATATTTTATATTGACCGTGGAAGTCATGGACTTTTTTCTTTTCTATTATAATTTTCTTAGTACATTACTATTTTTGTATGTAAATTTTTATTTAAAACATAATGTTATATAATTTTACACATGTTTTACATAATTACTTATATATACGAATACAATCACTTATGTTTTAAAGTAAAAAACAATACAATATTCGTATGTAGAGTGCGTGTACACAAAGGAATTTTTTTTTTATATGTACACAAAATAATGTCATCACCATGTCTGTGATTTTAATTTTGAAGGATTTTCTATAGTCATTTGAATTATTTTACAGTAGTACTCCTTCTTTAATTTAAAAATTTTTTAATCAATCTTTTATTAAATTTGTTAATTTGATATTCATTAAAGATGATTATTACTTCCTTTATATACATACAAATACAATAAAAAATTTCTAAAAAATATCCTTCCTCAAGGCTTCTTATTATCCTTGAATATAATAAATTTACATTTTCTTATTTTCTTTCTTTGTACATTATAATGCGTGTGGGATGGGAATGATGTAATATTCCTTAAAAATTATTTGGATTAAATTAAATTTGCGAAAATCATACACAATGAGTGAAGCTTTTATCATTATATAATATTGAAACATTTCAAAGGTTATTTAATTTTTTTTGAATGACAAATAATAAAATTTCTGAATTAAATTTGGATTTTGTTTATTTTAAATTTTAAAAGTGCATAATAACTTGGAACTAAATTTCATAATTTAAAAATTCTTAATTCCTACTAAGCAGTAGTCATACCAGCTCTAAGGAATTTATTAAAATTAAAATATTTTGTCCATATTTGAAAGAAATTTATTGAAATTTGCAATTCAAGGTGAAATTTTGATTTTTGCTTCGAAGTAAAATGAGCAAATTATTAAAATTTTTTAATAATTTTTAATTGAATATCATTTTTATAATAATTATTTTTTTATGAATTTTAAAATATTTTCTCTATTAAATTTCTTTGCATATATTTAGGCGAAAAAGAAAGTAGTTTTAAAATTCTTTGTTTTGGTTATCTTTCGAGTTTCTAATATTTAAGGTATTAGGTAAAATAAATTACAGGTAGTAAATTAGTTACCTGACTTTAATATTGTTATAAGTATAAAAAATATTTTATATAGAAATTTTAACAAAAGTTTATACTAAAAGGAAATGTTTTGAAGAGAAGTTTTATCTTAATTCTACGCGTTATAATTCTTGTTTTCACTGCAGTAAAATAGAAATACGTAAATTATTTCAAAAATAAAAAAAATTAGGAAAGAAATTAACAAAATCGAGAATAGATGTAATTGACCGTGTCAACTCTGTGATACGCGTACGAAAAATAGATGTCAGAAATTGACATACAGTTTCATACAACTTCTTGCTTTTTATATGTGTAGTGCTATTTCATATACATATATTATGACAATTATCTTATAAACCCATACTATCTTAAAGAGTTTTACTGAAAATTATGGCCACATCACCAAATTCCTAAGTTCAAAATTTCACCTTTGTAGCTTCAATAGTTTCTGAGCTATGAATAAATCGATTATGAAGTGGTATACTACAAACAGTCGAGAAATACAACAGGCTGTTTATCAAACACAACAATATATTTGCTTGTACAAAATTTCAAAACTATTCGCCGAATAATTTTCGATATATGGCTAAATAAGTTTTGAAGTTGTAGCTTTGGTCAAATAAATTTTGAAGTTTATTGGAAGAACTGGTTTGGCAGCTACCCAAATCAGCACCTCGATTATATCTTATTTAAATTTCTGGTATTTCCTATACTGAATTATTTTTGAAAACTTGGTGAGCTTAGCTCTATTAGTTTTTGAGTTATCGTTGGGACAGACATAGTTAAATCGACTCAGAATTCGACTAATAACATTTACTGGAGCCTATATCTGTAACCATTATTTCTAATAGTTAAAAACGGTATGGCAAATTTATTATACCCCTCGAACATACGTTCGTACGAGTATAAAAAAAAAAAACACCAAAACAAAATGCTTTCCTTTTTCATACATAAAATTAATCCTGTAAAAATTTATGCTATAAAAGAGAAAAAGCGAAAAATATTTGTGATTAAGGAAATTTCTTTGTCTTTTTTAATAAAATAAAAATGTGAAAGCAAAACAAACAACAAAACAATAACGAAACTCACTTTTTTTCTGATTATAAATTTATAAGCAAAATATGCTAAATATGTAGTATGTGTGTATGTATGTAATTCATTTACCTTGTTGTTTGTGTTCTTATGTCGTTCCAAATTTATTTTTGTCAAATATTTTAGGATTTTGTTTTCATTTGCATTGATTCTGTGCGTATAATTTGTATACACTAAATTAATATATATATGTATGTAAATCTCTTGGGGTGAAAAATATTAATTTTGAAAGATTTTATTTTCCCTTGAAAAAAGATTTCTTGCAAACAAAAAAAAAAGAAGGCTGCTCATATTATTTAGGATTTTTAGGTTGTTAAATTATTGATTTTATTATTCGAATTTTACATGAGTTTTTGAAACAAAAAATTTCATTTTGAGAATCTGAAATGCATAACATATAAAAAGTTTTGAATACCTTAGTTTCTCACTGGTAATTTAATAACGAAATATTGTAATCAATTCAGTCATTCATTTAATAATAATCTATTAATTATCAAGTTTAACAAATTCGTGACAATGAGTCTAATATTAAGAGTCAAAGAAATTTGTACGCGAAATTTTTATAGAAAAATGTTGAGCCCAAAAGAATATTAACAGAAAAATTTCATTTAAATTTTTGGCCTTTGTTAATGATGTTTAGACTGAAAGAATATCAAATAATTAATATTTGACTCTTGTTTTTTAAATTTCTTGAAGAAATTGTCTGAATGGAAGTTTAAATTACTAATATTAGCAGCGGGGCAAATATCTTTTTCATCTGTATTCCTTCTTATAAGGCAATTTAATGAATGTAATCGAAAACAGTCATAAAGTTTTTGTGGATAATTTTTAAAAGGTCAAAAGATTTCATATAAATTTAAGGACATTTTTGTTCAATATATCGATAGTTTCGGTTTATATTATAAATAAATTTATTTTATAGCAAATATTAAAACTAATCCTTGAAATTCTATATATAGAAACTTTTATGAATACAAAAAAGTAGCTATAATATAAAGCTTTTCAAATATCTACATAATTGTAATTTAATGAAGGTAATATAGGTATTATGTACGTAATACAGTAGAATATTAATAAGACGACTATTTAAAACGAAACCGAAATCATTTTTGAATTTGAAGATTAAGGATATTGTTTTTATTTAAATTTATCCTTTAAATTAATTGAGTTAAAATCCTGAGTGCAATGTTGTTCGACTTTCTCGATTTAGAATAATAATTATTGCAGGACATAAAAATTCACATTTTTTTTTGAAAATTAAAAATATTTTTCAAAAAACAAGCTGTTACTTTACTGTAACCGTTTAGCCAACTTTTGTGGTTTAATGGCAAATATGTACTATGTGAGTATGTGTATGGTCGAGTTTCTTACATTACCTATGTACTTACAAGAAGAAATAACATTTTCAACTGATTTTATTGATTGTTTTGTTTTAACAAATAATTAAGTTGTATGGATTTTTATGTACCTATACTCGTATCTATATATTATCTATGACAGAGCTCTTAAATTTTTTTGGAAAAAAAATTTTTCAAAATTTAATAGTCGCAATCGAATATCGTTTTTCTTTCAAACAGAATGATGGGTCACATTTTAAATTTGAATGGGTCGCATTCTGACCATGGACTGCACTTTGCCGACGTCGACCGTAAGGTATTGATTTATATGGAATATTAATGAACATTTGTTCATGTTTTCAACAAAGATGGCAAATCGTTCAAGTTCTACTGTATAATATATTTTATTTATTCCGGTGTTTGTGGATGTGTGAGTTAATTGAAAACATAAAATCGTTAATGCTTTTCTTTTTACTTGCGAAAAGTGGCATTTAATGAAATTCAATTTTATGAAGATTAACATGAAATGAGAGAGAGAAAACAAAGAAAAATTAAAAAAATATCTCTAAGAAAAATTTTATTTAATTCGACTTTTTTTCCTTTCGCTAAAGGAACCAAGAATTTACTCTTGTATGTTTTTTATACTTTTTCAAAATAAATTTTTGTTCAGGTTTCATTTGTATCAGATTAAAACATTATTTTTCTGCTTGTACAGTCGGCTTGTAAAGCAAGAATTTTAGGAAAAGTTTAATATTATCTACATTCATCGTCTTATCACAGATCAGCTCCTAAAAATCTCAAAACTTTGGTTTTTATATTTTTGGGTTGAAGAATCGAAAATGTGCTTGGAATGCTTACCTTAGCAAAATATTTTCTGAACTATTTGTCAAGTACTGGATTGTACTGTGAAAATTTCGAAACCTTCGAAAGTAATAAAATTTCTGTTTTAACTTAAAACAACTAATTTTTCTAGTATTTCTAAAAATTTTGCAAATATTTCTATATTTTAAAAATAATTCCTTATAATTTTAGTATTTTTAATGTTATATACGCCATTTTATGACATTAATTTAATTATTAATTTACAGAATTTGCAGTTCTTTAGAAGAAAGGAGGAGTAAAATATTTGAAGAATAAAAACCAGCAAAAAAAAAAATAAAATTATTTAAAAATATTTTCGTCCTTTAATAACTACGCGTAGGTTATTATAACAATGGATTATTCAAATAATTTTGGTGATGGTGGATATGATTATGGTGATAGTGGTGGGAATCAATATGGAGGAGGACAACAACAGATTCCAGGGGGTTATGGTGCAAGACCAAGAGTTGATGTTGAAGCAGAAGGAGAAGTTGATCCAACTTTGTAAGTAATTTTTACTTTTCTAAAAAAATTTGAAACAAAAAAATTTCTTAATTTTTTTTTATTGATAAATTTGGCTTTTACTTTGGTTGGTCTCATGTTAATTTTTCAAGAATAATTAGTTATTTTTATTAAATTAAAATATTAATGATTCTCCCATTTATGTTTCAGATATCCTGAACCAAAAGAAGCAACTCACAAAATTCGTGGAAAATCTGATTTAATAGAAAAAATATGCGGTCCTGTTGATCAAGAACTGCTCACAGTGAAAAGTTTTTATTTCTTCTTTTATTCAGCTTTCGGTTCATTATTCCCTTTAATGGGTATTTACTTTAAACAAATGGGTATGAATGCCGGACAATGCGGTGTTTTAATTGGTATGAGACCATTTGTAGAATTTTTGGCTGCTCCCTTTTGGGGTGGTTATGCAGACAGGTAAGTTGGTATTTTAATTTGAATTTTTCATATTTATTAAATTTTGTAATGAAATTAATTTTTTTTTTATCTAGATGCAAGCAAGGAAAGAAATTATTATTGGCATCGTTAGCTTCTTGGATTATTTTTACAGTACCTTTAGGATTTATTCAACCGGAAGCTGTAAAATGTATTGAGAAGAAAAATGCAACCGATTTTTATATTACGACAACAAGAACTCGAAGAGATTTAAGTGCTGTAGAAGAAATGGAAGCAATGGATAAGGGATTGAATCTTTTAGATGATTTGAATGAAACTGAATATACAAATGAAAATGGAATTAGGTAAATTTTTGTCAATTTGTCATAAATTTTATACTAAAGCATTGAAATATATTTTAGACATCGAAGATCTTTTTTGCCTTACCATGGAAAAACTGGAATATCTCCAATACAAGTAAATTTTGCTAAAAATTATGATGCTATAGCGCACAAAGACTATGTTAGTCCAATATTTTCTACAATGGTTTACAGGACGCCGGTAATATTTATAAAATTTCTATTAAATTTTAATGTAATAATTTTTTTTTAATTTTAGGATATTCAAAAAGCTTTTTTCCTTCTCTTACTATTAGTTTTAATTGGAGAATTTTTTGCAGCTCCAGCTATTACATTAGCTGATTCTGCTGTAATTACATTATTAGGAGATGATGCAGATAAATATGGCCACCAAAGAATGTTCGGATCGCTTGGATGGGGTTTATCTATGTTCTTCGTAGGTATCGCATTAGATCATTCAACATCATTTCCAGATCATCCTTGTGGACCAGAAAAACAAGAAAAAAATTACACAATATGTTTTGCAACGTTTTCTGTATTAATGACATGCGCCATTATTACAGCATCACAAATAACATTTAAATATGATCCAGCACTAGAACCAGAAAATCCAGTTGATCAAACAGATAACTTAAAACAAGCTGCAGAAGATGAAATGCAAAATCAATTAGCTGCTCAATTGAATTTACCATCGTTAGCTGTAAATAGTAAAAGTGGTACAAGTGGTGGAGCTTTAAATATGGGTGTTCCGATGGGTCAACCACAAATGGGAGCAGAATCAAAAATATTCGCTCAAACAACAAGACAGATGCCTGAATGGGTAACAGTAATGTCACATTTTAAGGATCTAAAATGTGCAGCATTCTTATTTGTTGCATGGTTTATGGGCTTCGGTATTGGTTTAATTTTTACATTTCTCTTCTGGCATTTACAAGATTATGGAGGCTCACCTACATTATTTGGTGTTGCTTCAATTATAAATCATCTTTCAGAAATATTCGCATATTTCTTTAGTTTTCGATTAATAACACAAATTGGACATGTTAAAGTTTTATGTCTCGGCTTAATAGGAAACGTTGTAAGATTTTTATATATTTCATGGTTAACTAATCCATGGTGGGTGCTACCATTTGAGTTCATGCAAGGTATTACACATGCTGCTGTCTGGGCTGCTTGTTGTTCATATATTGCACATAATACACCACAACATTTGAGAGCATCATCACAAGGTGTTCTACAGGGCATACATCATGGTTTAGGAAGAGGTTGTGGAGCAGTAATAGGTGGTATATTTGTAGCTAATTTTGGTACGACGGCAACATTTCGCGGTTATGGTATAGCATGTGCTGTCGTTTTAGCTGCATTTATATTCATCAATTTTTATAGAAAAGAACAAGGATTCATTTCAGAAATTCCAGCAACAGAAGATCCACATCAAGTAAATCAAATTGTTGATATTTTTTATAAAACGAAATTTTTTTTTGCATTAATGGATATTTAATAATGTTATTTTTGTATTTTTTTATTTTAGGTTGCCGAAGAAACATCACATTTAGCTCCTCATGGTGTGCCAAGTAATCCAATACCCCGTGCATTATCTAGTTCACGATTAAATGATATGCCACCAAATGGTCAACAATATGGAACTTATCAAACATCAGCTGGTGGAAATCTAGATATTCCTGGAGGTGGAGGTGCCGCAAATCCGTTCATGCAACATTAGGAACTATCAGCAAACTATTCAAATTAAATAATTGCTTAAAAAACACAATAAAATTAATCAAAAAATTTAGCTATACCGCGAAACATAAAATAAAAAAAAAAAACAATACAAAAAAATTTCTTAGCAAAAAGATCGAATTTAATAAACCAAAAATATTGTTAAAGTGAGCTAAAAATGCGTACTGGGTAAAAAAATGAATTGAGTTGTGTAAAACAAAATGTTGTTTTGAAAATATTTCGAATATTTGAACATCATTTTTGTTGTTGAACTTACGTACGCATACCATTGAAAATATAAAATTGGAAATACAGAAATTAAAGTGAAAGGAAAATGACAGCTTTAGTTAATTTAAAATTAAAATTGTATGAAATTATAAAATTAAATTGGATTCTAATAGTTTAAAAACAAAAATGGAATTTAATAAAATAAATAATGCGTTTTTAAAAAATTTAATTTGCACATAATGGAAAAATTAAGTAAATTTTTTAGTTAATTTTGAAAATTTTTGGAAATTTAAATTTAAAAATTTAATTTAAATTTCAATTTTAGAATTGATAGAAATTTAGATTTCTATCAAGTTTAATTTTAAAAAAAATTTTACTATTGTGAATCCTATTTACAAAACATAATGATAATTAATATATTTAAAATTAAATTTTAATTTGAAATTAACAAATTTGTGTATTTAAAATCAAAAGTTAGTTTAAAAATTTTAGGACTTATAAAAATTTGATTTTTAAATTGCCAATGTTCAAGTTTAACACTTCTATTTAAAATTAATTTTAAAATGCTCTACGCCGTAAATTATGCAATTTATTATAAAGTGGAAAAATGATTGTGGTTTTTTCTTTGTTATACCTATTCATTATGATTATTTCAATTGAATATTCTAATTTTGAATAAAAATAGTTCTAATAATTACTTGATAAATAAACAAATCAGAAGAATTATTTTGTATTATTAAAATTGTATAGCTAGCTAATGTTATATGCCGATTAAAAATATTAATTATTTAACAAAAAAAATTTTTTAAAAACTGAATTTCACTATTTTGTTTTAAATGGTCAGCCAAAACACCATTACAGTATTTAATTTTTTTAAATATGTATGTATTTTTTAATACAGAAATAAATATACATATATTTATATATACAATATTAATTTTGTGAAGCAATACGAAATATTTCAATATATTGGATACATGTATCTGTAGCAATACTACCTAAGACAAATTGAAATTTTCTGTATTTAGCTCTATCTTAAGTTGGAAACAGAACAGATTCCGCGGCAAAATATTAAAATTCATATATAGAATACATATACATATATTTTTAAATGGGACTACCAAGAATCATGCGAATTTCACCGCCGGCGGTGGAATAGCCCAAAATCCTATTTTGCATTACCTGTTTCCATTTTGGGTTAACAACGGGAAACGTCCGCTTTAGTGTTTTTTTTCTAATTAATCAGGTTAAATTTAACAAACAAATCAACAAATCTAAACATTTATTCTAAGGTGTTGTCTTTAAATTTTTATTTATAAATTATTTTATCTTTAAATTACTAACATTATGATTAAATATCTCTGATTTAAATAGCTTTTCTTTATTGTTACAGATATTTCATGTATATCTATATATTATTTACTTAAAAACTACATGTATAATATATACATAATAATATATAATAACAAAACAAGAAAATTAAATCTAAAATTGTTAAGTTTCTAAAATGAAAATAATGGCTTGTTATATGCATATCATTTTATTGAGAATATCAACGCTTAAAAATATAATATTATTCTTATTATTATTATCACTATACTATATAATATTATATTTGGAAAAAAAAAAACTTTTAAAACTTGTATATTTAATTGCAAAATATTAAAGAAAAAAAAACAAACTTAAAAATATTATTATTTTAAATGAATTTTATTACAAAAGAACAAAATTATATACATATATATAATTTAATTATTAGTCATATTATATATAACGTATATTATGTATATTGCATTTTTATTTGAAGAAAATGAAATCGATTTTGAAGAAAAATTACTATATTTATTAAGTATAAGTAAATTAAAAGAAAATAAAATTATAATAAAAAATTAATATAGCTAAATTTCGTGAAATCCAATAAAAATTTTTAATTTTTAAGTTTTAAAATATAATTACGTATAACCATACATACATTCATAATAAAATATCGTGTAAAACGTTGTAGAAATATACACATACATACATATAATAAATGTAAATAAAATAAGAAAAGAAAATTAGAAATTTAATAAATTTAATTAATATCAAACAAAAATTTGTAAAATTGTCAACTATATAAAGTATAAAATTTATTTATGTAATAATTTGTTTTTCCTATGTTGGTCTTTTAAAACTAACTTCAGTTCACTAAAATCTCTTAAAAAATTAGTAAATTTTTTTTCGCAATTACATATTGTCGCCACTTTATTTATTAGTACAATTCTATAGTTAAAATTTATTATATTTTGTATATTAACTTATTAAATTAAGTGTTCATGAAAATATTTAAAATAATATACAAAAATTAATTAAAAAAGATGATTGAAATTTTCATTATTATACAACAATTATTGTGATGCTTGTCTATACAATTTTGCATTACTATACCACATAAAAGAAAACTATGGTAGACTCGTCACCTACCTAGTAAACCCAATGACACAAGATACTGGTTCATGGTTATCTACGATATCATATACCAGTCATATACTACTCCCAGCAGTGAAGTAGAAAAAAAAAATACCACACGGAGTAAATAGGAGAACACATTATTTAATAAAATATGAGAGAATTTTTCACTCTTTAAAAATACATAATTTCAATTACTTTTCAAATAATTGATTGTATGACAAATTATAAAAAGTGTATTCCAATTTCAGTTGAATCACTTGATTTAATGTTGGATTTAGCTGGATTATGTTAAAAGGATGTGAAAACCAAAATTATTTTTAACGATTGGAAACATATTCTACGTTTTACGTATAGTTTGTGTTCTCTTTGTTATATTATTATTTTCTCTCTTTCAGCTCATCTGGAGATGAATTTGAAATGTGACGATTTAATTGAGATTTTCAATTATACGAGTATATTATTTAAAATAATTTTTAATTAAAAGAAATATTTTTAATTTTAAGTAACTTAATAGTAAAATTTTAAGATACATGTAACAGTTTTAAAACTCATCAAACCATATTGATAAAATTTTAAAATTAAGCTGATATTTTTATTTATTAATAGGATCGACATAATATCGTAAATTTATATCCACCGAAAACGGATATAATTTATTCTATGTTATTTTTTAGCGATATGTTGAAAACTTTAAGGTTTTGGACTGAATTTTCTAAAATCAAAAAAAAGAAATTGACATTATAAAACAATATAATTTTTTTTAGCAAAATTTAAAGTTGCATCACGTTGTATTTTTGTTTATTATTTTATATTTTAAAAATATTTTTAATAAGTTCGAACATTATACTTTTGAAAATATTATTATTAAAATTAATTCTATAATAAAATGTATGTATATATAAAGTAAAAATGAATAAAATTTATAAATAAAAATAAATAAGAATTTATAAATTAATTTGACAAAAAAAAAAAAATTAAAAAATATTATTTTCTTTTCTATTTCATTTTAATATTTTATATAGAAATGCACGCAATATAAAGTTAACTTGGCTCTATGCACATATTCTTGATTGAAAAATAGTTGACTTCTGCAATATTTATTATTATATAAAATTGTTAAATAACTACACACATAAATTATTAAAAATATGATGTTATTGTATAATACATAAAGACACCAACACAATATTCTACAAATTTAACTACGTATAAATAATAACATCTTTATAATCGTTGATATTTAACAAAAAATAAATAAATAATTGTTTGTCACTATTTTTCATGTAATTAAACCGTACCTAAAAATAAAAAATAAATGCCAACTTTGTTTCTTTAATTTTAATGTGATACTAAATAAGTTTTTTAATAAAGTGAATATAAAAGAAAAAAAAACAAAAAGAAACTATTTTATAAATATACATATACATACATAAATATATTTAAAAAAAATATATACAAAAAAAAATATAGTTATTATGTAAAATAAAATATTGAAATAAAACAAAACGAATTTTATACAAAAATTATTATTGCATCTGGAAAGAGATAAATATTAATATTATTATTTAATTTTAATTGATTGGCAAGGTTCTTCAAAAACCCTCATTCAAAATGAGTCAAGTAATTTTTATTTAAGATTTATGTATGTAAGATTTATGTATTAACTACACAGTTAATTTTAAGATAGGCTTACGAATTCCATTATCATTGAATTCGGTAGCTATATTGTGTTACCGCAATTTTGAGTTCACAAATACTAATCCAAATTATTAAATTTAATAGGGCCGCGCATTACTTTCATTCAACAATATTGAAATTGTATTACAGAATTTTTATTTGATCTGCATTTTAATCAATTTTTATGAACTCGTTCCTAAATAAGCATGAATTCTATTAAATATTTATTTATTTTTACAAATACCATATATTGTGTATAGTTTCCCATGATGTGAATACTCTCTTATTTGAACACAACAAAAATATAAAGATATGCAATATACATATAATAATTGTAACATTATTTGAAAATACATAAATCAAATTAAAATTCTAATTGTACTCTTCAAAAGTTTTATATGATAATAATTTCCCATTATTTGACAATTTTGATTATTTGAAGGAGTTCATTTATTGAATTTTATTCTGAGAAGTGAATAATTAAATATAATAGTGATATTTGGGGAAATGATTAAATTTCATTATTATAAATATACAAACCAATTTCTACACAAATCGTTTGTGTCTATAATATACATACACTGTGTTGTATACATACACAAACCAGTTACAAAACAAATTTGTATTTAAAACAAGATATTTAGTAAATTATATTTCATTCCAAAAATATAAGATTGCCGTTTAAAAGAACTAATTAATAATGTTTTTATTTATCTCTTACTTGACTAAAATATAAAATTTTTATTATAATATTATTAAAGAAAAAAATCATATTTTAAATATGAATGAATATATTATAGAGCCGTGAAATGATTTTATTAATAAAAGAAATAAAATTTTTAAGAAATGTAAAACAATATGCTTATTATCAATTTCATATCATTTTGAAAAAAAAAAATTTAAATTTATAAAAAAAATTGATATATATATATATATATATATATATGTATATGTAGGTGTAATATGAAAAACAAGAAAATAAACACTGTAATAGAACAAAAATTAATGTATATACACATACATTATATACACACACACACAGATATATATTTCATGCAGTAAAAATTTATTCATTACTTTACAAGGAATATAGAGAGAAATATCGCATTTAAAAATTCTGAATTTTCTT